TCCCAAAGCCTGCTGGTCTTGGAGTCACTTTGCATAACCCCCCCCACCCTCTCAGGTGTCTTCCCTATGTTGGAAGAGCGCACTGCCTCGGGGAAGGGCCATCACCCCACTCAGCCAGGCCTTTTACTAATACAAAAGAAGAGATAAGCTTCAACGACCTGTGATTACAATAACAAGCCCTGCTGCTTCCTGGAAGACAGCACCCAGACGGTGAAGAGGAGGGGACATCGAGTTGGCATGCAAATGACATCAGATCTGGCATGCAATGGGAGAAGCCCCTCACCAAACCTAGCTAAAAACCCCTAAAAACAACGAGCCAACACAAAATTGACAAATCAAAGTGATGTCTAGGTCTGAAGAACAGAATCTAGTATCCGCTAAGACCCTTTTTACCCCTCACCCTAACCTCAAAAGATGTAGGCTAGACAGAGGACCTCGAATGGTAAACCAAAGAGGAGGGAATCTCCTGTAGGTCTCGATGGAAGCCTCACCTCTGCCCACAGACCAATGGACAAAGCTGCACTCCACCTCCGGGTTACTCCTGGGAACAGCAGTGGCTTGACCACAGACCCATCAGTTCTCCGCACCCAAGCTGATAATTTTTAATAAAGGCATTAAAAAGGAGAAAGGCCTCCTGCCCGTGTTTATTTCATAACCCTTTCTTTCTGCCACTATTTGAAGCCATTTCCAGTAACACAAGAGCAAACAGAACCTTGATTTTATGACAGCTTTTCCATTTACTCCCCTGCTCCATCCAATTTTGACCTCTTACAACCAAAGGTCAGCAAGATGAACTGGAAAAACAGCAGGAATTCCTTGTGTTCAGCTAAACTAAACAAGTCCAGGACCCAGTAATTCCCAAATTCTAACCCCAAACCTGCCAATCACTTGCTGTATGGCTTTGAATTACTGGATTTGGGAATTTTGCTTTCAAATAGGTACATTGGAGAAGTGCACACCGTGCAAAAAACGGAACAGTGTCAGGAGAGCATTAGATTAAACAGCATTAAAATTCTTCAGAGCCCCTTCGGTGAGATTTGGTAACAGGCAAAATTTACCTTTTTAGAAATCTTTCATTTGAAATTTATTTAATAATTTTATGGATGAAATCACACTACTTAAACTTTACTTAATGATAAAATACAGAGATTATGAGAAAAGGGAATTACTTGCTAACCGCAATGAAACCCTCTCCCATCAGCAGAGCTGTCTCAGGACAAACTGGTCAGTACCATCCAACAGCCGAGTGTTCCATAAGTGATGCTGAGCTGTGCTCTACTGAAGTCAGAAACCACTTCCAGCACCTGGATTTCTGAAATTCAGGTCTCAGTCCTAAAGGGTTAAAAGCATTGTGTCTAGGCATACTTGAGCAAGAGTAAAATACATTTTAACCAATATAGAAGCTAGCAAAAATTAGCAATAAGAGATACAGGATGAAACTTGGTGAGAAGTATGCAAAAATGAAGGACAGAGTTTGCTAGAACCAGCAAGAAAATCCCTGAAGCAGCTAATGAGAGATTGCTCACGTCTAGAGGAGAAAGGTGAAAAGGGCGCAGGGATGAAGACATCCAGCCTGCATCAAGGGACCGCTGAGGAAGATGCAGAGCCTTCCTCAGCAACCACACGGGTGCACTGCGCCTGCCCTTCCCGTGTGCTAATGATCATGAGGTCTAAGAAATAGTTTGCATAACCACACCTTTTCATTTTTTGCATGAATATGCAAAAAATATGACCATATATTGAAATATGCTATGTACCTGTGTGCGTGCTGTTAGGAGGAGATATCCCTGTGCATCCAGCACTCTGAATAAAGAAAATACTTGCTTCTCAGACTTGGTCTCAGAAATGTCTCTTGGCCCGTTTGAGGCGATTCAGTCCCAGACAGACTTCAGCCAGAGATTTGTTCGTAACAGAAGAATCCTACAGCAAGCATCTTAATCAGTGCATATTAACAGTCTGCTTATTTTTTAATTTTACTCTTCCATCCTAGGGTCTTCAGGTTGAGATTAAACTCTGTACTCAGTTTAATACATCCAGAGCATACTCTGCTTTTTCCAAGACTTGTGAATTCAAGTTCTCATCTCACAATTAATCACTGGCAAAAACACTTCAAAAACCTAATATTTCTGAACATACGGTATTTTATTTTTTAAAATAGCATGACAAGAACTCACCAATGGGCTCCTATAGTCAAAATCTTTGATGTGGTTATACAATCAATTTTTCTCATGCTCAGAGTACATCTTCTGGGATGCCACATTCACTGAAGTCTTAATGACTGGTTACTGGAGCACCTTGACTGGTGCTGTTACCTCCCAAAAAATTCCCTTGTGGAAAGAGGTCAGACATGAGTCACAATTTACTCTCAAATCAGGGTTTTACTGTAGTAGGTCCCTAATCAGCCTTTATTTCATGAATTTAAGCAGAACAAGCTAGCCACTTTAAGAAGGGAGAAGAGGAGCAGGATTTGGCAGCAGACGAAGAAGCAGCAGCAGACCCTCTACCCCAGTCCCAGCTTGGGGATCCTGATGGATTTTCACCACTGATTTAAATTTCACCACTGATTCAAAAATCATGTGATACTCAGGATTCTTTGCTTTCACAAAAAGACTGGCGTTTTCCTAAAAATTAAACCCATGTTAGATGCAGTTGTTTCTGTGACACTAGATACAGGAAAGCATAAACGGGGTGGGGTTTTTTTCAGCTCTTGGTTTAGGGCACCTTGAAGCTACAGCTGGGAAGTTGGCCTAAGCTGCAACACTGTGCTGGTTTGACCAGGAAGAAGTGGGAATTCTGGGATGCTGTGGTCAAACCAATGGGTGCTCAGATTTTGATATTGGCACCTGATGTGGCCAGTGGGGTTTGGACACACCTCTGAGAACACACAGGAGTTAAAAGCAGAGCTGTGGCCCTGGGAGGCTCTCTTGGGACTTGGAGGCAAAGAGGTCGGATCTCCCTCCCCCGTCCAGCTGCTGCTGCTGGGCAGGGGAGGGGCAGCCATGTGGTAGGCCTGGGCCTGAACAGAGATGGGGGGTGAGGAGGCCCTTGAGGATGGAAGGGTGGAGGAGCCCCAAGAGACATCGGGCAGCCACTCCCCTCCCTCCAGGAGAGAGAGAGAGGGAGAGCCAGAGACGGAATGTGATAGCAGCTGGCCGAGGAAGAGAAGGGGGGAGTGCAGCAAGAAGGTGCCTGGCAGGGCAGTGTGGGAGTGCCGGAGCTCTGGGACAGGCAGACTGAAATTTTTAACCCTTTTCTTGCATGATTGAGAACTTGCAAAAATGCTGATCCTCCTGGAGCTGGATAAGAAGAGAGATAAGAAATGAGATAACAAGGACTAGGCCCGAGGGAAGTGGAGAAGACTGGCTGAGTGGGGGCAGAGATGACAGAGTGGCCTTTTGGCTGGACTTTTCGTGTGTGGCCATAGACTGAACCAGTTTTATTTCTGTGACACAGAGACTGCATTTAGGGGGAGGCAGTGCCTCAGAACCGGGAGGGTTCAGTGTGGGTACCCCTCGGCCCCAAGGGGTGAAAAATGGGGGGGACAGATGTCCCAGAGAAGAGACTGTGCCTTTTTGGAGTGAGACAAGGCATCCTTGAAAGACAACCCTAGAAGCAGCTCTGGTCCATGCACGGTGGTGAGAGCACTGGGCATGGAAAGAAGATGTCACAACGGCAAAAGGACTTTCGGGGCAGTGCTGAGTGACATGGAAGCACACGAGGTTTCAGCGTGTTTCCAGGGGAAGCCTATGGTGCAAGAAGGACTCCTCTCCTCTTCATGAACTGAAGATTGAGTATTCTAAAGGGTGGTGCCGGACTGAGAGTTGGTGATTTGGGGGAATGTATTGCATTGGGAAATTTGGTGGGGGGGAGGAGGAAGGTGCTTTTGTAAAGTTTTCTTTTTTTTTTTTTTTCTTATAGTTTTTTCCCTCTTCTTTTCTTGTAGTTTAGTTAATAAAGTTTTCTTTATTTCTAAGCTGGAGCCTGCTTTGCTCATTCTTGGTCACATCTCACAGCAGACACCAGGGAGAGGGTATTCTCATGGGGACACTGGCTTTGTGCCAGGCCTAAACCATTACAAACACCAACATCAACAGGGTCTCAGGGGACTGGGCTTCTCTAGGCAGCAAAATGCTGTTTCCAGCCCAGCCTCAAGCAAACCAGGCTGATGGAAAAGCTCCTGCTAAATGCATGGAGCAGAGGTCAGTTTGCAAAAAATTTCTGTTTCAGCACTGGAATATTTCACATAATTATAATAATTAAGACATTCAAGCACTCCTGGAAGACACAAGCTTGAGTGCCAAGCAATAAAATCTTACTTGTGATCTTACACGAAGCATTGGAATAAGCTGAAACAAGTTGCCTGGAAACTTACCAGGTACATTTATTTAAAACCAACAAATTTAAAAATACATATATTCTATTAGTACTTTGTACCTTCCATATAAAATAAAAAAATAATAATAATTGCAAAAAAATGCTTTGATTTTGTCAGCATCATTTTATCTGCAGGTTACAAAACCTGGGGAAAGACCAGTAGAGATAATTTTGTTAGTATTCTCCAAACACCGAGCCATCACAAAATTCTATGCAAGCTTAACATGCAGAAGCCAGAGCTGCTTCCAGTCTAAACAAGTTCAGCCTCCCCTCATTAATACAGTTTTTGTCAATCTAGTGTATTACTGTCAAGGCTACAAGATTTTCCAGTTTCCCAAGAAGACATTTAAGTGCACAATAAAATCGTATCTGCACACAAACTATGCATCAAACTTCAGTAATTCCTGTAATGGGAATTTGAAAATATGCAGACTTCTGCGGGCTTACAATACTCCAGAATAGGATCAAGCCAAGTCCCTGTCAGCCTGCAGCTGTTTATCAACATTGCTGAGTTTGACTTAAATATAATCAGCTCAGTCCTACTGACAGTGGTTTTTAGCTGAACTTGCTGCATTATCAGAAAAGCTGAGAGTGACAAGGCCAGTCCTACCCCAGCTCACGAGTGTCCAGGCAGGACAGATCACACAGGGCTAAGAAATTCTTCCTGCCATCTATAAAGAAGTGGAGGCAGCAAAATGAAAATTTTGAGGCTCCTCAAGGCAACACTGTAAACAGTTCTAGTGCTGTTTTCACCTCAGTTACTGGTTCATTTTCTCCTGTATCTTCTTTCAGAAAAACGAATAATGTTTCAGCCTAAAGAAAAAAAAAAATTGAGAGATTTAAAACTTCTCAGTAATCTGTTGAAGGGACAACACAAAGAAACAATAACTCTTCAGCAGTGTCACTGAGTATCCTAAGCTAATCTGAAACACAGACGCAGTAAAAGATAGCAAACATCCACCTGCTAGAATAACTTAAGTGCCATTATAATATGCAGTTCAATTTCAAATAAAGAACAAATCACAAGATTTATTCATATTTAGGAATATTTTTGTAAATTTTCCCTGTCTTGATAAATCATTAAAATCTCATCTTAAAATTAAGCAGTTTTTCAAGCACAATGAAGTTGTGATTTAAAAAAAATATTCCTGCTTAAAATCAGCCCTGCTCCTCACCCCTGACCACACCAGCAGGGGAGCAATATCAAAAAGTATGGAAACAGGGTGTATTGCATAATCTGACAAAGATCAAGGGCTGTTCTTCAGCATGGAAAGCCAACTCCACACTCCAGCAACTCATTAGGTGTAATTCAGATCAGGAATCACTTTATCATTTACAGTCATCTGCACCATCTTACAGAACATAAGTAACATCCCATGTTACCCGGGATTAATGGACTTAACTTAGTACCTACCTAAATAACAAAGCTTTGCCTTTGTTATTTGCTACAGAGAAATATCCACTTCTGGGAGAGAAGTCCATAGATTGAGTAAGATAAATCTGTTTTTTTCTGAAGACTGGGAAATTTGAGAATACTGTATATGAAGGAAGATGCACCTATTGAGAAATATGTCAGAATTTAAAGCTGGGAAAAAACCACTAAAAATAAAATTAAACTACAAATCTATAATTGAAGCTCAATGTTAAGTTCAAATTTTCAGTTATATTCCTACCCTACATGACTCTCCCTATAGAAATCTATTGGAGAAAATGAGCAGGGAACACATCACGGAACCAATTATTGCAATTCTCAGGCCTACAAGTCCTCAGAATAATTCAACAGTTCCTCTGTTGGCCAGAATTTTGATAAGGCTGGCAAAAAAACCCCATAGTAAGATGGTTACAGTTACCAACTGCTGAAAACTCACATTTGTTGCTGAGCTATATTTACAGCACTGAAATTGAATCACATACCCGTTAGGTTAGAAGGGACCATAGAGTTTTCATCCAGTTCCAACCCACTGCCATGGGCTGGGACACCTTCCACTAGACCAGCCTGCTCCAAGCTCTGTCCAACCTGGCCTCAAACACTTCCAGACATTTTAGAGAGCATTTTAAAAAGGTAAACTAAACTACAAAACATTATTTTCAAAGCAACTTTACTACGGAAAATAAAATTATACTCTTGAAAATGCAGAATGTCTTGGCCATGTCTGGATCTGGTTGGTCCAGCACCTTTTGCAGTATCTTATCTGCTTCATATAAGTTTTATTATGTCGCCAGCAGTATTTTCAGCAAGATTTATAAGAAATATTGTAAAAAGAAGCTGAACATACCAATTTGACAGCCTCATCAGTGTCACGGGAAGCCACTGCCAAAATCTCTGTGGTGGGATTAAAGGTCACACAGGTGGCAGAAGTAACAAGGTTCATTATGGCCTTAACTGGTTTAGGACGATTTTCTTTGAGGCAGACATCAGTAGTGTATAAATTTACAACTCCAGAAGATGAACTAAAGAACAAAATGAACAAATATTATACTGAAAAGTAACATTCCAGTATATACTGTCTTGTAATCTATAGCCACTACTCACCTGAAAATGTAATTTCCAATTATTTACTGGAATCTGCAATAATATTTTGTTTGGAGCTTGATTTTCCTTTGGAGTTTATAACAGTATCTAGTAGAGGAGTTTTTGGATTTTCTTTTTTCTTATATAGTAAGAGACTGAATTCAAAGCAAGGAGAGCTTGGTATCAAAAAATTCTGAAGTAACTTCAAGTTTTTTTGGCTGGTTTTTTTTTGAATTTTGGGGGTTTTTTGTTGGGTTTTTGATTTTTTTTAGCATAAGCTCACTTTAAAATCCTCTTCTACAGTGAGTTAGGAAAATATATATTGTACTCCTCTATCTATTTGCTATTCTCATTTAAAAGAATCCAGACACTAGCTGAAACAGCATCTTGGTAAATTTGGAGAAACAGCTTCAGCCTGTGGCTTTGAGTTGAGGCCCCCTTTTGAAAGGCTAACATGCTGCCTGGCAGAAGCCAAATTTACTGAAGAGAATCAGAAAAGGGAGAAAACCCTGATCAACACTGCTGTTACAGAATTTGTAATTTTAGTCAGTGTGATTTTGAAATTACCTGCTGAACCCAAACATGGTAATAGTAATACCAGTATCACTCCTATTGTTTTAGGTGTACTATGTTATTTTATATTTACAAAGAGAAAAGTAAATTATTACCATAAGATAAGGAATATTAATCTATTCATGCCTACTCTTCTCTTATTAGAACCAAACCATATTCCTACACTCTCACCAGCCACCCACAGGTCCACTGAAGAGCTTCAAAATCATAGCAGAAGTTGCTGTCAAAGTTCAGTCACTTACCCACATGCCACATACTGGTTATTTTTTGAAACAGCAATGCACTTTCCTTCCAAAGAACCTTCATCTTCAAATTTGTGTAGACCCTTTCGGCTTCTCACATCCCAAATGAAAACTTCGCCTTCCTCTGGTTGCAGAATGAAAGATATTAGAGAAAACTTACATACACATCACTTTGTTAGTCCACTTTACTAAAAAAAAAAATTAATTAGATAACAACTAAAAGCTGATTTACAACTATCAAATATAGGGTATTTTTAAAAACCCCTACCGATTAAAGGCATACTAAAATAGTTAATTCCATTCTTTACTGATTGATCACTTGGTTGTATTTTTAGGAAAGATACTAGCATAAATTTTTAAAATTATTTTTCTAAAATTATAAGTGACTTCTAAGAACTCGTGCAATTTAAATTGAGGTATTACTAGAGCTGCTGCAATACTCACTTGAATAGCTGTATATTTTACTGCTGTCTGGGGTGAAAGCAGAGGCAGTGCACCTTCCATTCACTTTCATAGTGCTGATCAGTTCTTTTGTCTGCAGGATGAAGACCAATGCTGAAAGAGATTCTACTAAAAATCTACAGAAAAGTTGTTTCCTGTCCCACAAAAATCTTGTAATTTACCCTGACATTCAGAGAACAGCACCAATGTTGTCAGTGCCTGCAGAGCAGAGCATAAGCTCCTGACTCTAACTGCAGGTGGATCAACAAACACTTGTTTGCTCCCTCACTGAAGGGCCTGAGTTATACAAAACTGAACTTCCTTATTTAAAAGTATTTTTCCTGGTGAAAGTTTAAAACACATCCACCTGCCATCAAAGGCATTTCAATATTCAGCTGAAAGATTGCTCTATGCATTATGAATCAATGTTTGGTATGATTCATGAACAGAGTACAGTAGCAGGCACTAGCATGACTCCCAAAAAAGCGGCCCTATATTTCTTCCACCCCCAGGTACCTGTTCCCACGCTGTTTCCATTCCTCTCACCAGCACAGTGCTTGTGCAAGCAGCTGAAATAAAGCACTGACACACGACTTCTTCAAGCTGAAAACCCCATGGCTTTCATGGGGAACTGCCCTGAGTTCCACCAGTTCCATGCAGCTGGGGAACAAAGTCTCAGTGTGTCCAAAATAATTCCCTGAAGCTGCAGTGGGTTGATTCCACAGCACATTTTTGAGGGCTGTCACAGTACATGTCATACCTTGCCTTCAGTTGAAAGTTAGATTGCCTTGCAGATGAGATAAAAGCAGATTCAAAAGAGAAAAGGCACCAAGGAAGCAAAGCTACACCATGCAGAAAAAGTACCTTCATGGACAGCAAATGAAGATAACCTGAATTTCCAATCAGCAGCATAAATGATCCATCTGGAGACAGTTCGAAGTTTCTGAGGAATTTTTCCTCCACACCTTTAAAAAGAGATTTGAAACTTGAAATTGGTGCAATTTATTCTTTGGCCTCAATATTTACAGGTAGGACGAATTTGACTAAAACCTGACTCCAGCTCTTCATTTCTGCAATATGCTGTCACAGAGAAGCTGAACTCAACCTTGCTCATGTGCAATAATTAATATCCCAGACAAGTAACACTAAAGGTACTTTATTTCCTTGAAGACAAGTAAATAATACAAACTCCAACAACTCACTGCACTTTGTTCTAAAGGAAATTCATGTGCCATCTCTATTTGGGACAGCTTCAACTGCACCCAGACACTCAGAGCTGCAAAACATACCTCGGACTTTCGGGATAGGGATGATACTCCCAGCCATCATGTCATACACAAAGAACATGCTGTGGTGAGTACCAGTGGCTATAACTTGTTCTCCATCCACACTGAAACGAGCCTTATAAATTGGAAAACTCTCTAAATAGATGCTCTGTATTTTTGGGTTCTTTATACCGTCCACCTTCAAAAAAGAAAGTAACAAACCAGGTTGTCATATTGAGAAATATATCAAATACTTTTACAGAGTAAAATTACACCAGCTTCTCAGCGGAGACTCAAGTAGTAAGAGGTACACCACCACGAAGCCTTAAATTCTTCCTCTCTCCTACAAATCACCTGGCTCTTAGCTCCTCACCTCATGTAACAGGCACTCCCTGCCTTTCTGATAGGCCTCTCACCTCTTGCCCTTCCTCATTTTGCCCATACTTTGTTGAAATAATCACTTCTACTCTGCTGTTTCTAAATGGAAACATCTGCTTTGATTTGGGTTTTCTTGCAGCTCTGTGAGTATCACATTCCACTTGTCTGACCATTTCAGTGACACAAGGCCATGCTAAGAAATCCTAAATAAAATTAGGATATTTAGTTTTCAGAGGAGCCCGGCAGTATCTCAGGATGAACACCTTCTTCCTACAGCATAGCCTCTCCATCCCCAACATGGTTTCACAGCATTTTTACAGTCTCAAAGCAAAGTGGGCTGCTCCCCCCACTACAGGTTCTCCAAACAACTTAAGAAGAAAAAATCTCCTTAGTACTTGTTCCTTGCAAATCTTCAAACCAAACGTTTTTAAACACAAATCTTCAGCTAAAAACTCTGAGACAAAGAGTTTGCCAGTACTCTGCATGTGCTTGGTGTGAAGTCACAGGTGGAAATTCCTTTCAAGATGCCTTTAACCAAGGAATTTCCATTGTAACCACAGACATTGCATAACCACTGCAGATGTGCAGAAGAAGAGAAAAAACAAAGTCTACCATTCCAGGCTATTTCGTGAACATTCAAAAAAAAGGTTCTATGTCAGTGACCATCAGCAGAGTACAAACTGAAGTTTTCACCTGGAAGAGGGACACAGAGCGATCATGCCCAGCTGTCATCACCACTTGAGCTGAAGGATGAAACTGCACTGTCACCAGTTTTCCATTGGCAAAACGTTCCTGGTTTGCAGGAGGGCAGGTGCTCATCTACAACGCAGACCAGACAGTTTAAAAAAACCCCAATAATCACTTATGCTGAATAAAAATGCATTTACTCTTTAGGCTACAAGACCTCAAGCCCTGTGATGAAGTTCTGGGTGGCATGAGGTGAGGAGAGCACACACAGCCTGTTCAGGGAGCTGCTCCAGTACAAATACAGGCTGAACTCAGCAGCCTTTCTATCTGCAATAAAACTGAGTGTAAAACCAGCTGCATTCTGACTCATCTGAGATAGCTGTAGGAGACTGTGTGAGAAATACTCATTTAAGGCCTTCTTAAAGATCATTTCAGTCACTTCAAAGTCATGGGAGAATTTCATCCTCCCTCTGCAGAAATTAAAATCCTACAAGATACTATTTAGAGTGCAGAAAATTCTTATGTCAGACAATACACCTCAGTTTATTGTTTTATGCTTTCATGTGAACTGTTCAATTTTACTTATCCTCTAAAGCTTCTAGTTGCAGAAACAAATTCACAGAATCACTAATTTTATACACAACGAGTCAAAGTGTGCACTTAAGTCCAACTGAAGTGGAAAGATATGGTTTGTCTTTACCTTCAAAATCCCTCTTGGCAGAGACTCTGAGCTTGTTATGAAATTGCCAGTCCTGCGTAGCAGATCATCATCTTCATCACTGTCACCTCATTAAACCAAAGCATGTGGAATCAGCTAATTGCACAAGTACCCACAGCAAAATCAACACATTCCTCACTGAAATGAATTAAATTAAAGCACACTGAAGGAACAAAGCAAACTGAGGAGACATCAAAAGTAATTATCTTCTAGCAAGCTAAATAGGGAATCACAGAAACACTTATCAGAATAGCACTGGGCATATTTACTATCACTCAAAGTCCTTTTGGAGTTCTTCCTGTTTTCTAGATCAGCCCAGGCAGGAACTCCTCCCATGGCTTGCTGAAACCTTATGAGAAAAAGAGGAAAGAGAAAAAAAACCATAACTTTTGTGAGACAGTAATTTCCTTCTGTGAGTTAAGTACTTAGAAGAAGCACAGTGAGAATTTTGCAGGATTACTTGTACTCAGAACACAGTGCAAGTTTTTTATTAAAAAAAAAAATAAGATTTCACTGTTTCTTGTATAATTCCCTAGAAGACAAATTAATTTGGGCACTTTGATACAAGTACTAAACAAGCTAGTCTGGACAATGCTAATGCACATTTTATTTACTATTCTTAGCATCATTTATTATGTAAAAACACTGCAAATACTGCAGGAAGCTCTGACTTTAAAGAGACCACATGAGAACAGTGGATAAAGAGAAAAGTGACTTTGAATGTCACAGAAATATATTTTAGCTTACAAAATTGTTGGCTAGATCATCCACTAGGGAGATCATCCACTCCAACTCCCTGCTACAGCAGGGTCACCAGGAGTACATGACATGTGAAGTTGTCCAGGTATGTTTGGAATGTCTCCAGAGGGAGACTCCACAGCCTGGGCAGCTGTTTTAGTGCTCCGCTAATCTCCATGGAAAGAAATTCTTCTTCACGTTCAGATGGAACTTTTTGTGTTTTAGTTTATGGTTACTGCCCCTTGTCCTGCTCTAGGTGCCACTAAAGAGTCTGGCAACATCCTTCTGGCACCTACCTTGGAGAGCAATGATCATGAGATCAATATAGTTGATACAGTCAGCCACAAAAACATTAGTGAAACTTACTGTTCCTCAAGTCTTTTCTTTAGTTTTTTCTTAGTAAGCGTTGTCTCGGCATCACTTTTCATTAAATCTTTCCTGTACTTATGGGTCATATCAACACTAGAGGGTAAAAACAAACAGAACACAAACATTGTTCAAACCAAGGCCACTTACAAGCACTCGCAAGTGCGACAAATAATTCTCTTCACCTAACCCGAACTTACTTTTCCTCAGCTTCATCATCCTCATCGACCCAGGCCGGACTTTTGAGCAGTAAGTCACGTTTCGCTTCATTTTCCACCCCCGAATCGCTGGACTCTTCCTGAAGGTCCTTCTCCTCTGCAGCAGTAACCTGAAAACAACCAAACGGACCGTGCAACCAGGGACACGGCCGGGAGCCCGGGGACCGAGCGGGCGGGGCTGCCGCTGTTGGGTCGGGCCTGGATGTGCCGTACCCGTCGAGGCCCGGCCAGGCACCGCAGCAGCTCGTCCTCCTCGCCATTGAGGCTGTCACCGAACACCAGCTCCTCCAGCTCCCGCTCGGCGCCTGACACGCAGCTCAGCGCCTTCAGGTGGCGGGCGCGTCGCGCTGCCTCGGCGGCCGCCGCCTGATTCGCCACAACCAGGAGCCGCTTCGCCGTCCGCCTGGGTTTCGTCATTTTACTCGCTTTGGTCCCTTTAGACACTTTCTTCGCCATCTTCATGCTGGATGCTTTTGCCGCTCCCCGCTCCCGCCCCACAACCGCCGCTAGACCACGCATGGCGCACCAGACCCGGAACCGGAAAACGTGTGCCTAGTCACATGACCCCCACTTGGACACGCCCCCGCCTGCGATAGGCTCCTGACACCGCCCCGCCCCCGCCCCCTCCCCATGTGATCAAGTCCCCGCTCCCGGCTGTGACCCGTAGTCACGTGACTCATCTCATTTCCTCCCCTTGCTCCCACCTCCCCGCCCATCCCGAGTTCCACGTGACGCGGCCCAGTTGGACCGCTCCATTGCGAGCTCGCGGAGGGGGGAATCCCCGACCCGGGAGGCAACACTCGTCCCTCATCGGCCCCTCACCGGGACATCCCGTGTGCACCGCCACTTGCTAGCGGACACGGCTGCTCTAACGCCCCGCGGTCCCTGCCTTGGCCCGGAGTGTCCACCCCCGGTAACAAATGATTTCGCCCAGGTGGGGGGGGCATATGGCTGTGTGGCCGCTCCGCGCAGCCCGATCCCGGCGGGGGCGTGTCCGCGCCTGCGCAGCAGCGCGCTCATGTTGTTGATGTCCCGGCGGCCGTAGTCGGTCCTGGTCGGTTCCCGGCGCTCGGAGCGACTGGACTGCCCGGCCCATCCCCGCCCCGCTGGGCCTGGTCCCAACCGCGGGCACCTGCAGCGCGCGAGTCCCTGGGGCGAGCGCCTAGAGGCAGCAGGCGGCTCCTGCCCATGAGGGCCTGATGGAAAACACAAAGGAGCTGGTGAGTACCGGAGCCCGCGGGTGGTGTGACCGCCACAGCCCCGCGGAAGCCCCAGCCTCTGGTGGGGGAGCGGCGCGGGCTGAGCTGGGGCGGGGAGGAGCTGAGCGATCCCCGGTGCCCGCGCCGGGGGGAGGCGGCCTCGCAGTGTGTGGGTGAAAGTCGGGGACAGCCCCGGCTGTTGCGGGGGCGGCCCCACGGGGTGCGGGGATTGTGCCCGTCCAGGGCTGGGGCTCCGGGGGCCGGGCCGGCGCTGTTGTTCGCGGGGGAGTCTGGTCGGGGCACCTGGGGGCTGCAGGGCTGTACTCCTTTGTTGCGGCCCGCCTATGCGGGGTCGAGTTTTGTCCTTCGCCTCTCTTTCCTCTTGTCTCGGAGAAAAGTTTCAGCTTCTCGCGGGCGCGCTCGGATCCGCTTCTCCCCCTGCTCTGCTGTAGTGCCGGCTTTCAGCAACTTCCTCCTGTAGTTCCAACCTTTTCAAGTTGAGTTTTCCAGCGTGGTCAAGTTCACTGCTGGAGAGTTTTCTTTATTATCAGCGCTTCAAAAGTTTTGGATTTTTTGCGGCCACTTCCCCCCCATTCCGTGCAATTTTCATGACTTCTGATGTTGTGACTGTTCTTTTTGTGAGAAGTAGTAAACTTGTGAAACCAGTTTCACTTTCAGGTTTTTGCTTTGAAAGTTAGAAATACCTACTACAAAGCATATGGTGATTATAGTAAAAAATTCTGTGTGTGAAAAAGCAATTTATTTTAAAATGTGGCTGGCAACTGTTAAAATTTTTCAAATCTAAGCCTAGTCAAAATTGAAAGCCGCAGGGCAATCTCTTGTATTTTAAATTAAAATTATTTTGCACGTTTGAGGACCTGCATTTACCTACTTATTGTATTCAACAGTTTGATTTTGACTTAAAAGGAATGAGCTAAGGCTATGAGAGTCTAATCTGGAGCCTTCAATGAGAACTAAAATAATATATTCCCTTAAGAAGGCAATAAAACTTGGCAGGTTAATGTCCATACTCATTTCTTCAGCCTGGGCATCGTTTTGAGGAAGTGGGTAATGTAGGCTGTAGGAAACTATGCAGAGGGATCTTGTTTCCCAGGAACAGTTTAGGTGCTGTTCTTGAGAATATGTGGGCTTGTGCACATGCTGAAAGATTGCAAACTGGAAGTAAGAATTCTCCTCATTGTTCCCTAAAGAGCAAGGTGCCCCTGGCAGGAGTGGTAACATTCAGAGAAGTTCTCTCTCATTGGCTTTCATTTCTCTTACCTTCTAAAATTTGATTTAATTTTGCAAGGCTTTTCATATCTTCTGCAAACCACTACTGCATTCCTTCATTTCTCAGGTAAGTTGGAACACACTGGGGATGTGGGATCCTTTGCTGAACCTGGCTCTGAGTGGAATGAATTTAGGTGTTGAAGACTTTGATTTTGGGTTGGTGGTGGTTTGGGGGTTCTTTGTATTTAAATTTGTTATTTCATTTGGGGGTTTGTTTGTTAATTTTAACGGTAACGCAGTGTTTAAAGTGAAATATTTGCCTCTTCCTTTGCCGTACTCCTGTAAAGGCCTTATAGAAATGTAATAGAGTTTGTAACAGATTTTCAGTTTTATCAAAACTCAGATATTTCACAGATTAATCATCACACCCCTCCCCTCCAAAATTTCCTGCTAATGTGATATATTTTTTTATGAAAGAGTCTCCCCTCTTGTGTGAAACCCCCTGGGGAAGAGGCTATGGACAAAACCATTGACAAACAGCAGAAACTGGCTTCAGACAAAATGCTGTCATACATAGCAAATGAAGAGACAGGAAAAAACATTTCTGTAATTTTCCAGCAGAGATTTTACTTATAATAAGAGTGGAAGGCACATTTCCAGATAGAGGTGAGTTGCTATATAAAAAAGTAAGTTTGGTTGGTTCTGATTTCCAAGAATCCCAAGATGTTTAGTTTTGGGAGTCTTTGTTTGTTTTTAATGAAAGCTGAAAGTGTGTTTTCTTTAAATTGGTATCATGTTTGAATTTTCTTTTTTGGTCTTGTTCTGAGGCACAATTTGGCTTCAGTTCCACAGGGACAAGCTACTATTCTACTGTAAATTATTTTGGCCAATTTGTATTCAAAAGAGTTGTAATAAATTAGTTCTATTGTAGTGTTTCCTTAACATCCAGAGCTGAATCTAAGTTTGTAGCATAAAGGATAAATGAACTATTGAAAACAAAGCCTATGCATCAAGTTTAATTTTAACTTGGAAATACCCTTGGATCCATTCAGGATATGTGATTAAATCTGTCTTATGACAGACCCTTGGCTTGAAGGTTGTGGTGACCTCATTGTTGACCTGGGCCTCAGATCCCATCTGTCCATAGTTCTGTCCTGTTTGGGAGGGTTGGAGCTGAACACAGGAAGTCCTGCCTCTGTTCAAGTGCTGGTGTACCTTTGCTGAGCTACAGCTCTTGTACTCCAAGCTCCAAATTGCTTCCATTCTGAGTTCAAGTCCCAGATTGAATTCCAAAGTAACAACAATCATTTGGAGTGGTTTGAAACCTCTCTGTGGCTGTTTTGCATCTTCCTCCTGTGGCCAGCTGCACTATGTACCTGAGGGTAATAGTTTTGGTTGCATAATAATGGGGTGCTTTTCTTGCAAGTTCTTACCTTCAAAACTCTTTTGCATAAATTTTGCCAATGCTTGAGCATAGTCTTCATCAAAGCACTAAAGCCATTTCCTAAGTAAGTGTTTGATGTCTAAATAACGTGAAATGGTTTCTGGTTTTGCCATGGATTGCTCACCCTTTGTGCCCACTTTTTTTGTGTTATACGAGTAGTTACTAAACTCAGAGAATGTATGCTATAATGTATTGATTGAATTCAATGTGTGTGTATATATATGTATATAAAAATGTGTGTTTAGAGTGAGAAGCTGGTTATTTTCTTATTTGTTTAGAGTTGCCTTCCTGCTCTCAGGAAAACCAGTTTCCCTAACTGTGTTCTTTTTCATACCATTTGCCTTATGTAATGCTTAATTAAGAGTATTTCTTGAAAATGGTCTGTTGTCAAGTATTCACAGGGAGGAGGGGAAGAACAGGAAAATGGGAAGTTGGGCAGAAAAAGAAAGGAGTTCTTAAGAGTTCCTTTCTCCACCCATCCCTTCAATAAAGAAAAGTATGCAAGAAACCCCCTGAGCAAATAGTACAGGGTAATTTGCTAGTGCTGCTCATGATACATTTCACAGTGCTCTGACTAAAAGCCTCAACCTCTGCTGAGGAAGCTAATAAGTAATCTTATTAGGAAAATTAACCTTAGCCTTTCCTAATCATATTAGAAAAATAAACTTTAGCCAAACTTTCAGAATGCCTGAAAGTTTGTGTTCTTTTGTTTGTGCATTGCTTCTGCTTAATGTACAGATAGATGCTATTAGTGGAGCAGTTACTCCAGCTGCTGCTCTTTTGGCATTAACCAGCCACAACCTTCTGTTTAATAGCAAGCCAGGCTCCTGCTCCCAGCGGTTTCTGTGGATAGACAGGAGGCTGGTCCCTGTTTTGTTAGAAGTTGAATACTGTTTAGATTGTGTTTGCAGGAAAAGACAATCTCCTCAGCATGATTTTTAGTGCTTGGTCCAGCTTTGAAGAGTAGGAAGGTGGCTTTATGTTGATTTAAGGGTTGGTTTTTTCTTTGCATGCCTCTTTTTGAATCCAAGGACCTGCAGCTGCTGTGGGGAGATGCTGCTTCAGACAGACAAGGTATTGCTGTTGTCTGTGAAGCCTTAAAGGACTCATCAAGAATTGCTTGTCCTTCACATGCCTAGAAATTACTTCCAACAGTGCTTGTTCTGTTACCGCATCAGGGATGAGATGAGGCTCTTTGATTTGTCATTTCCTGGGCTCTGCTTTTGCCTTTTCCAAAGATAGAGGGGATAACAACAAAGGGAGAGAGAATGTGTGCATAAGGTAGATGATTCCAATTTCCTGGTATCTCTGATGAAGCTCACCATAGTATATTAGAGGCCACCAGCACTTCAGGAACTGTTGATGAGATGATTGAGAGCTTCTGGAAAAAGATTGAGGCCCTAGAAAATTAGAAAGGGGAAAATTTTGTACTTAATTTTCAAAAGAAAAAGGTGGAACCAATTAGCAAGGACTTAACAGAAATTGTGAACTGCTGCTGTACCAAAGCCGCTGCTTTATCTTGGTTATAATTCTGTTTGAGGTATACATTGTCCTTTTTTGTAAGGATGTGTGTTTGACCTTTGAATTCAAGCAGTGCTCCTACTTTTTTCATTTCCAGATGTTAGATTTCCTTTTCTTCATCTGAATTCTGCAGGAAGGGTTATCAAAGCTTCCTCATGTTCACTTTGTTCCTACAAATGCTGTGTTTCAACACGGGTTAAAAAGAATCTCTGTGGTGTTTATTGTCAAAACAGAAGTGTTTTGATCTGCTCTTACAAAATTCCAGCATAGGTATTTGTATATCATTTTCCCTAACTTTCACCTACTTGTGTGTACAAAGTATTTTGTCAGTTTTCTTCCTGCAAACTCTTTGAAGCCTTTTTGAAATCTCATAAAGTATTGTGAGTAGTTTGCCCAATTGCAGTCCAGGTAATAACTACAAATTAACGTTAAGACTGTCCTGCATAAATTATCTGGCAAAAGCTGGGATTCAAATGTTTTATAAAAACTACAGTATTATTTTAAAATGATAAGCAAAACTGCTGATTTGAATTGCAGATTTGTTATTCAATAATTTTGAATTGGAACTGTGTGGCTAATTATTAAATAAGTGGAAAGGTGATACATGAGGTTTGTTTTGACAGTGTAGTTAAACTCAAAAACTTAATGATTGCTACTTTTGAAGTTGTGTAAAACTGAAGAATGATTTTTCCTAATTGAGCCCCCAGCTTTCCATTTACAAAGCAGAGCTGTTTTCCTTCCCGCCTGTGGATATTTTGGCAAAGAGAGCTTAGCAGTAATACTGATGTTCTAAATGGAAATGATGCAAAAGAACAACAAAAAGAGCCAGATGCACTCTTGTGGTAGTCACCTTGCCCTGTGCTTCAGCTTCTGGTCCTTCACCTTGCCTCCAACTTCCCAGTTCTTCCTCAGCCTTCCCTGGCAGTGGGAGCAGAGCTGGCATGGAGAATTAGTGGGACTGGGAATGGGCTGCACTTCAATTTCTTCTGAGTGGCATCAGCATTTCACACCACTGAGCAAAGTTACCATCCTGTAGGTCCAGGGTCTCCAGTCTGGAGTGGGAAGGGGATATCCTATGCAGCCTCCATAAGAGGGCTGAAGCCACAGAATCACACCTTGGTATGGGATGAGGCCCTAATCTCTCAGTGAAATCAGACCAGTCTTAAAGAGAATAAGGACATGAAGAGGGAGATCCTTCCCTGGGCTTTGAAACACCACAAGTATCTGTCCATTAAACCTGAGCATCATAGTGCTCTGGTAGTACTGGTGGGAATGGTTCATATGGAATCACGATTTGTATCATAGAAGAGGCAGTGATCAAGAGACCTTAAACACTGTGAGATGTTAAGGAGTTCCTGAAATCTTGAGGAAGATGACTAGTTTTCATCATCTGCTCTGAAAATTCCTGGCAGTGTTGGCAGGACACTGTATCCATGGCAACATTGTGATCATCTTCTGCTTTAAGCTGCACACATGTGCACACACAAACAAGTCACTGTCATGCGTGTTGGTGGCAGATGGGACAGGTGACACTGCTGGGTCAGAGCCGAGCTTTGTCTGCCATGGCTCAGTGTTGCCTCTAACAGTCCCATGGGCTGGCCTTGAGGAAGTTGTCAGGTTTTGTCCTATCCTAAATTTGGTTTGGTTTAATACAATTTCTTTTTTTGGCTGGGGGGTATATTCATAATTAACATTACACTGACTTGGTTGTTTTGTTTCAGAACTACTGTAAGTGTGTTTAAAGTGTTTGCCTTATTGCATAACCTCTTATGCTTACTGGGTTTTTTGATTTTTTTTTTTAATAATTGCATGCTAGGATTGGGTCAGTGTGGAAATCAATTTTCCCTTGTGCCCATTAGGAAATTCTTCCATAATAGGATTTATTTAGATTGCAAAGTAGAATATATTATAATAAAGGCATAGCATGGCAGAAAAAGGAAAATTAGTTCTTGGAAAAGGAAGTTGAGCCAAAGGCTTCTTTAATTTTTCTTATTTTTTTGTCTGTACTTCATTCCCCTAACTTGTGCTTTTATTGTAGAATTTCTTTTTTGGTCTTTATTTATTTCCTCTCAAACTTAGTAGATACTAAGATTATGGAAATAATATGAAGCCATATTTTTTTTTAGCTTAATGAGGGCAGCTCACATAGGAGTAGCCTTGTTTCAATGGAGCTGTGTAAGATATTAATAAGTGAAAATTGTCACTGTATCAAAATGCATATGGTGGATGTGCCTCAGAAAAAGTACATCAGTTAATCTCTTACTTCTTTACTGTCTTTGCTGGAAATTGCTTAACTGTCATGCCTTCTGCAGAATTGTGTGGTTTTATCCTACTTCAGATTTTTTTATTATAGGAAAACTATTATGTAACAAGTTTTTTGTAAATGACAGTGGCAAATTAGTTACCTTTCTCTCTTTCAGCATTTGTAGGGACCTTATTGCCATAGTAACTGAGCTCTTTATAATGGTTAATGTATTAATGCTCTGAACAGCTCTGTGAGCTGGAGAGGTGTTCCTGCTTCACATGGGAGTCATGGTCTCCTAGGGGAGCTGAGTGATTTATGGATCACAAGCCAATAAGAGCAGAAAGCCTCTCATTCCTTTTGCTGTGGTATAAGGGCCCTCTTGATTGAACTGTCTTTTCTCTGCCCAGCTTTCTCAAATTAATGAATTTTAGTGGAATTGGCTGCAGCCATCTGGAATGTGCTCATTTGCATATAAGATCAGTGTGTCTGTCAGTGTATAGCTCATCAGACTTAATGAACTCTAAAGATACCAAGGAAATTAAATGTATGGATGGCTCCTGTTTATTCTCAGTGGATCATGAGATACTTTTTTTTCTTTTTGTATATCACAGCACCAAAATTGGCCAGTTTTGATTATACCAGTGCTCATGTAATTGGCATTACAAGGCTCATGTCCGTGCTGATACAGCAGTGCCTTAGAATATCTACCTTTGAAGACTAACCTGTGAAACTTTTTAAGCTTGACTTTGAAATCTTTGCATTCAGAACATTCTGCTATTCTTTGGTTTTTTTTGTTGTTTGGTTATTTTTAATTTTTAGACAGAACGTAGTTCACAAGTGGAAAGGAAACACCGAGACTCGTTCGGGATGTTTGACGGTTATGATAGTTGTAGTGAGGACACCAGCAGCAGCTCCAGTTCAGATGAAAGTGAGGAGGAGGTTGCTCCTTTGCCATCCAGTCTCCCAATTATCAAGAACAACGGGCAAGTTTATACTTATCCAGATGGCAAATCTGGCATGGGTAAGTATGTGCTGTGTGAGTGCTAGGAGTTGGATATTGGTGGATTTAGCGTGTGCTGGATTGTGACAGTCCCATCTGAAATGTTGGTCCCGACTGAAAAGGGACCAAAGCAGCTAAAGGGTTGGGGTTGGTTGGTTTTGAGAAAGGGAATTGTTTGGGTTCTGCTAAACTGAAATAAGAGAGGGTTTGAATCCTGCTGACAGGGAAGAAATAGTATGGGAACATCTGCCCTCCTGTCAAATGTATTGTGTTTGCACACGCGTGTGTGTGTTCTCATGTGCATTGGTTTTATTCTTGGAGCTTTGAGGACAATGTCAATGTGTTCTATCTATGCCAGGACATACCTTTTCTCTGCCCTTTGTTACACGTACAATATGTTTAAATATTTGTTCCTATACTAGGAAAACTTCATTATTGCTACTGTATAAAGCCTGTTAGTGTATACCTGTTCAGTTCTCACTAGCTGTGAGTTGGAGGATACTAGGAAAATAAGTTGAAAGGGAAGATTTCTTTTGTTATCAGGAAAAATATTTTATGTGAAATTCTAGTGATTAATGTAAAGCTCTCTCTGGGCAGAATTTGAGTGTTGTCTCACTGGCATTATGAGTCTTACTCTTAATGAAATACACTGTGGGTGATGCTGTCCATCTCTGGAACATGATACTAGCCAGAAAAAAGCACTGGTGGGCTGGGGTAATTGGGATATACTAATTTATGAATCAAACAGTAAATCTGGTTTTATTTCAGGTTGGAAGTATTCTGTGTTTAGAGGAAACCAAGATTGGCAAGCCCAGATTCAAAGCAGATGCTTCCTTGAGAACAGTGAAAAACCAATAATCGGCTTGAGCTAATTTAGCTGGGTCATTCACTTGCACCGGAGATGAAATTAATAGGGAGCAGAAAGAGGCACTGTTTCACCAGTGAACTTGAGGTCCTTGCTGTTTAACTGATATTAGTAGCGGTGTTTTAAATTTCTTTTTTTCCTGTGCAATTTTCTTTGGGGTAAAGTCCTCAGAAACTGTTTGATGGTACCACCTCCAGGACCTTCATTCTGTCCACTACATTCTGAATTTTTTTGCAACTTTAACTACACTTTTAATATTTTGAGGTTTTTTTTCTTTCTTCTGATTAGCTACGTGTGAGATGTGTGGGATGGTTGGTGTCCGAGATGCTTTTTACTCTAAAACCAAGCGCTTCTGCAGTGTGTCGTGCTCCAGAAGCTATTCCTCCAACTCCAAGAAGGCCAGCATTCTGGCCAGGCTTCAGGTAGCGGTACAGACACCGTTTTCTTTACATCCTTTCTGTCGTCTGTGATGCTGAAATTGGGTATTTGTATAGATGGCTGCATGTTTGTAGATTAGGTTCTTGGGTTTGAGGGTTTTTCTTTATAGAGTTTCAAAATAGGTATATGTGTGTTGACTTAAAATATTAATCAAGTAATCATCAACGTGTGTCTGTAGTATTCAAGAAAAGAGAAAAATAAATGTCAAGAAATATCATTATACCCTGTCTCAAATTCATTGCAACAAATGCCAAGAAATTGCATTGCTATTAAATTAGATTAAAAGTTCTTCCTTTTGATCTGCTTTTAAGAGATATCTTTTTTTCAGGTAAACAACAGTGAATCTATAGTGCTGTTCAAGTTGGGATAGTAGTACAAAAGTCATCTTTTGGACACTCCTTACTACTGGTTTTTAAATTTATTTTATATTACTTATGTCATACTTAGTCTCTGTGTACTTCTGATTTTAGTTTAAATCTGTTGAAGATAGCTGCAGACCTGTGGAAATTTCCTGACAGGAGTTTGGAAAGATGTTATTGACTTGGGTTGTGGTTTTGGTTTTTTTTAGGGTAAACCTCCAACGAAGAAGGCTAAAGTTCTACAAAAACAGCCCTTAGTGGCTAAATTAGCAGCATATGCCCAGTACCAAGCAACTTTACAAAACCAGGCAAAGACAAAAGCAGGTAACAGCATATAAACAGACCTGAAACAAATACACTGAAAAATTGGTGCCTCATGAGCAGCTTCCTAACTGAAATAACTTTCCCTTAGCAGCTGTCCCTGTGGAAGGTTTCAGCTGGGGTAACTACATCAATAGTAACAGCTTTACAGCAGCTCCTGTTACCTGCTTTAAACACGTGAGTATTTCTCAGTTTGTGCTTTCCTTCTCTGTGTATATAAGTGAGTCTGTGGAAGTTCTTAAATTCATTTTTTCAAAACATGAATATCCAAATATTTTTCGTGATGTGAGTATCGCTACTTTTTAGATAATTTATCTGTCCTTTAAAATAATTCTGAACACCATCAGTTACTTTTATCATAGATACACTCTCATAAACAAAAAGGAAGGCTCTTACATACTTGAGAATTGTTTTTCTTTTGTTCAAGTCACAATATCATCCCACATACTGCAGAGTAGCAAACCAGCCAACTCAAGCTGTACTGAAAACAGTTACAAAAGGCTTTTTAGATTAAATCGGGCCTGTTCCATTGTGTTGGACTGATCTTTTTGTTACATATTTAGATTTGGGGTTTTCGTTCTTTATTATTTGTCAGATTCTCCCTGTCAGTCATGCTGCCAGGTGGTCTAGTATGGGGGAAAATTAAGGCTGTTAAGAAATCTGAAATTTAAAAAGTTGGTTTTCTTTGTTTTAGAGTTTCAAAAGTTTCAGACAAAAAGATTTTCTTTGATGACTGAGGAAAGTAGCGGTTGGGGAGAATATTTAGTGCCATCTGTCTTTAATGTGTTTATAAAATTCCAGGCATGAGACATTAGAATGACAATTAAAATACTGTCATTACTTTTACTTAAGTAAAAGCTTTGACAAAAGGTGTTTTCTCAGCATATTTTTTTAATTTGAGAGGTTGAAGTGTACAGTATTACAATATTTTTGTCTTGCTCTAAATTATGTGCTGAAAGTTGTAATCAAAACAAACATTTTTCTTCATGGAAGTTGTCCATGAGAGAGAAGAGAAATATTTCCTCTTCAGTGCAGGAATTCCTGCTGAGCCCTCTCAGATCATAAAGCAGTGGGAGTTGAGGGCTCCTGGCAGTTGGCACTCTGTGAATAGCACCCTTTATGCTCAGAGGCCTCAGCTACTGCCCAGGACAGAGCCTTGCACTAGGAGAACTTGGGGAATTTGTATCAAATTCTGCATGCTCGAGTCAGCATGTTTGCACTTTGCTTCCACAGCTATGTACATGTAATAAGTGATTTCAAAGTCTCGTTTGATAACATGGACTGTGCTATTGGATCTACAAATGTCTCAGGGTGTGTGGCATCCTGTATTAGAGACAGCTACAGTCGTCAGATCACCTGTAAATTATTATTACATTTTATTAAAAGCAATTGTATCTCCCTTTCTCACTGTTTCATTCATTCAGCTGCACAGTGCCCCAGTAATGTGAATCAAGACCACGCTCGTGGTCACATTGTACCTCGAAGATTTTCACAAGATAATGGCAACAGTACTACCATGTAGCCTGAAAGTTGTTTCTTTTCTGTCCTCATTTTCCTTTTTCATACAAGTAAAATGCAAATCCTGCTGTTTTCTTTGGAGATTTCTACTTCTTTGGTGGATATGAGTTAGTGTTATACAGGTATGATTTGCATTTAACTTTATGTAATTATTTCTTTGAAAAATACATTATTTAGACCAGTCAGAATCTGACAAACACATCAGTGCTCTTTCGTTAGGTCCTTCTCTTTGTCCTACTCTCCATTGATAATTAATCAGTACTCTTTTTGACTTTCTGGAAAGATTATTGCTGTTTTCTATATACTGTATTGCTTTGATTTGTAAAAGTTTGTATTAGTTGATGTTTTTTTACCATCCATATTATGAATTTCATACACCTGTGTGTGTGTGATTGAAGATATAAAGCTTATTCTGTTCAAGATCAAAGTTTTGAGTTGACAGTAAAATCGTGACATATCTACCCTTAAATTCATTATTCAGTAAAATATATTGAATTTACTGGTTATACTGGATATATCTGTATGAATATTTGATAGGGAACATTAGGATCAGTGTTAAAGAAAATTTAAAGGAATTATGAGATGTGAGATTTGGCTTTTTTTTAAGAACCTGACGTACTTAAGTATCTCAGCTCTGATGTAGATTTCTCACATCAGTTTTTCTGGTTTTGTTTTTTTCCTGGGAAGTTATTTCTTCTTCATTTTAAAACAGCTACCTTTTAGAATTAAAGTATCTAAATCTTGGGAAGTTCTTTCTCTTTATGATAAGATTAATTTTAAAGTATTTTGATATACTTTTTGTGTTTCCATGTTACATTTATTCCAGACTTGAGTGTTGAGTAACACTAATGAAATTCAGTAGCAATAGAGTGGTCATGCCTATGATTTCAGCGTTCAGTAAACTGAAGTAGGGAACTGCTTTTGTTTATGTCCTACAGGAAGCCCATGGCAAAGCCAGAATTCCCATTTGTGCACCTTGCAGCCTCTTTTTTTTTATTTTGTCAGATTGCGATAATCAGGCACACAGCAATAGCTGCTGCAAGGAGAAAAACTCAATTTAATGTTTTTAATATTGAGTTATAGTTTAGTCCCATACAGTGAGCTCATTGCTGACCTGCATTCCACTTTTTATCCTCTAAACACTTTTTACTCTTTTCTATAGTTGCTTTTATTAGTTTAAACCATTTCTACAACTGAAAGCAAATTACAGTGGTTTGAGTTATTTCTCAGTACTACTTACTGGACAACTTTATGCACAGTTAAGAGCAATTATTTCTTTTCACTGTATTGCTAATGAGAGGCACATTTCCTGAAGTTCTTTCTTCCACCCGAATTTTATCCTGAGCCGAAATACTTTCATTCTCTTGATTTCATCTGTTTTTAAGCTATATCCAGTGATTTAAGGGAGCATTTCCAGGATGCTACACTGGGTGGCAGTGTTCTGCTTTGAAGGTTTTTGTTTAAACCCTTTTGCATGTTTTCTCCTCTGGCATTACCCACTGTTGGAGCACTGCTCACAAACGAAGTTTCAGCATTCTATACAATTCAGGAATTGGTAGCATCACCACAGTACCAATGGAATCGGTAGCATCACCATCAGGATTTGCCATTAAAATCCTGATTTAAAGTCTACAATCATGGCAGTGTTGATGCCATCCAAAACCTCTAGAAGCCACTTATTTAAGCCACATGAGCTCTTTATTCAGGTGCGTATGTGGAATACTTGGCCTTTAGGTGCTCCTATCAAACAGGCCCTTCCTGACTGCACCTTACCTTGCAGAGAAGGCCCTTGGTGCTCACAGATAGACCCCTCCCAGGTCATGTCCCGGAGCAGGAAGCCAGGAACCAGCTCTTCCTTGTTTGGGAGTGATGTGACGTGGATCTCGTCATGAGTTTGAAAGGTAAATTTGTTCTTACCTGTAAATGATGGTTCTGCTAGTTCACACTATGCCAATCCAGACTGCAGTCACCTTTCAGTCAGCAGATAAGTAAGACTTAACACTTCTCTAGTGCACTTTGAGTTTTTAAAAGCACTCTTCAAACACTCATTGATTAATCAGATGAGACAGAGGAGAGATGAAGGAAGATGGCTGTCACAGCCCTGGTTTATCCAGGTCTTCCTGCTTCAAGAATATCCCTAATGAGTGAAGGAGATTAAGATGGTGCAGTGAAGCAGATGTTCTGTAAACCATCCCTCAGGACAGTATAGTTGTCTGACACTTCAGCAGTGATGCTGCACAGGATGGCTTCCCTCTGGAAAGGGTGAGCCATATGGATTGGTGTAGGAGAACTAGCAGAACCAATGTTTTCACAGACAAGGACAAATTTAACTTTCTGCTATTTCCGTCTATACCAATCCACACTCTGGAAATGAAATTTCCATTTTAAGTTGATGTCAGGAGAAGTCTTTTGATATACTATTCTCACTGAATCAACAGAATAGACGAGCAGGCAATAAAATGTACTTCAGTGCAGGTGGATTATGAAATTAGTCAGCACTTTTATTCTGGATTGTTTGGCTTCATCTGTATCTCTATACGGGCAACAAGATTTGCTAAAATATGCAGTTTGAAAAGTTTATTTCCCCAATTCAATTCAAAAACGTACACGTGTCAATTTAGAGAGGGTAGTGATCACAGGATGGAATTTAAGTTGTATCTGCATATTTTGTGTGTGAAAATAAGCTGTCATCTTTTCAGTTGGATTTTTCTCTGGCTGCCAGTTGGCAGAAGAGAGCTCTGTGGTCTAGACTGGTGTAGATGGGACATAGCAGAACATGAAGAGACAAAGCTTCAAGAATAGAAACTGGCATACTTACATTTCCTTTAAGAGTTGAAACTAGTTTTAAGTTTTGTATAACCTCAAATACTTCAACTAGTGAGGGATTTCCTTTTTTTAAGATAAATTCAGCTTCTAGTGCTACTAATGGCAATTGCTGATTGCCAGCAAAATTCCAATATTGTAATTTTCAGTTATTCAGGATTAATCCAGTTTTCTTCACTCGTAGCTTCTGTTTGAAGCAGTTGGAGGCTGTTCCCACTGGGTGGTTCAGTTCTCTGGGTTTGCAAAGAGCTTTGTAAATGAGACACAGTGCAGAGCCAGAGGATCCCTCCTTCAGTTGTCCCAGTGATAGCTGGGTAATCTCTGAACAGATAAGAATTTGTCTTTCTCAGAATTGATGTGACTGTTGTTATAAAACACCCAAGATATGAATCTCTCTCTCCTGGGTAGTCTCAAGTTTATTGCACACTGAGAAATTTTGTAGCTTGTTACCAATATAACTTCGGTTGAGTTACTGTTAAGAATTTAGGTTCTTTGGCACTGTGCATTTCTGGTATCTACAATACCATCTTTGGCTGATATTTCATTTTGCTCTGTTCAACAAAATGTTCTTCTGGAGATAACAAACTAAATGCAATTTCTATCACCAGCTTCTGCAAACCCTTACGAGTTCATCAGGTGGATATTCTTTCTTGTTCCTAACATATTCCTCACATGGGACAGTGTGGGGGATCTTGCTGTGCCTTTCCTTCTGATGTTCATGACAAAGGTGCCGCTCAGAGCCTTCTGTTCTTTTTGTCTGCTCCATGGAGTGATCACTTGCAGGTGGTGTGAAAGCTTGTTCCTCTGAGAGGATGTGAAGCAGTGGGTGATGAACCCTACCATAATAAATCATCAGAATAGAATAAAGAAATAATTTTTAGGCATTCTTCCAGAAACATGCCTGACTTGCAGAATTTAAAGGTTTTGATGTCTGTGCTACAGGTACTATGATTTTCTTGCAAGTAGAATGGCATAGCGATTTCCATCATTCTTACTAACATCAGTAGTTTCTTCCCAACTGAAATATCATAGAATAAAACTGACCTTTGGGAATGTACAATTTGTGCTTAACTGCTATTTAAACTTGGAATGCTATAGCTTTTTTTCAGTAAATACACAGGAATAATTGGATACAATTTCAGTATTACGCATAGTTGTCAAATTAAAACAAAAGTAGGTTCTTGTAAGAAACGGTGGTTTCTAACCGTGTTTGTTATATGTGTATTCAATGTTTTGTCTTTTTAAGTTGCTTGTAGAACACAGAGATAACAAAAAATTACTATTTTCACATGGTGAGCTGATGACTTTTTAACCCCAACCTTGACAGGCGCCCATGGGGACTTGCTGGGGTGATATTGCAGAAGGAGTGCGAGTGGAGGTTCCAAACACTGACTGCAGCCTACCTACCAAAGTCTTCTGGATAGCTGGAATTGTAAAATTAGCAGGTAAATGTGTTTCAGTTGAAATTAAAATAATCAAAAGAACTATGTGAAAAAATAAGTACTTTAGTCAGCAATCACCTGGTGAGAGAAATGCTGCCATTGGTCAGGTTGGCAGAGCTGTGCCTGTAGATTATACATTGTAGTGCTGTCACTGTTCTACACTGGCTGCTGTGATGCTTGAGAATCTTTCCTTGGTTTGATTTTTTAAATATTGCCTCAGAGTGCAGTAAGACTAGTGCAGAGCAGAAAGGAGACGTGGTATAAGACCTGTCAAGAAGCCTCATTATACAAATCACTGGTGAAAAGTTAGAAATTCAAGGTTACGGATCTAAGATATGAAAAAGCAGATACTGTGCATAATTAATTTTGTCCTCTTTTGTGCAATTTCTAAAGGTTTATAGTTCCAGAATTTTAATCTTATTTAAATTGATTTACATGATAATACATGCACATTTATCAAAGTAATCAATTCTGTGCATTAATAGCATCCAGAAATGTGCCAAAAAACCCCAACTTGCTATTAAAAATTACATTTAGAAAATCAGTATAATGTATATGATGATCGGTCAAAAAATATTCAAACATATTTTATAATCTTGTTTCATTCTTGTATTTTTTTAAATGCTTTCTTTCAGGCTACAATGCTCTGCTGAGATATGAAGGATTTGAAAATGATTCGAGTCTTGACTTCTGGTGCAACATTTGTGGGTCTGACATCCACCCAGTTGGTTGGTGTGCAACCAGTGGGAAGCCCTTAGTTCCTCCTCGCAGTATGTAAATAGTAGTCTTACTGATTTCAAAGTCTCTATTAAACTAAATTTGCTCATGATCCAGATAGCAAAATGTTCTTTTGCTATAACTTTTTCAACAGTTATGAATTAATAATTTTAACTTTTGGCTGATGCTGTTTTTCTTGGAGTAGCCCATCTGATGTGACTCAAAGCTTTTAAGACTGGGGTGGCAGCAGTTTCCTAATCAGTTATGGGAATATGCACTTATTTTATTCATACTTTGGTATTAAGTTGTTCACCCTGGCCTATTATCTTAATCTTGGATAGCATTCATTCTCTAAAGAGGCTTTTTGTCATTATTGTCATCTAGGCCTTGTAACAGTCATCTGGGATTTCTTCTTTACATATTCCTGACTCTAATATTAGTCTCTAATGGGCACAATTGAAAATCAGTGGCTTATTTCTTCCCCTTCATTTGCAACAGGCATCCAACACAAATACACAAACTGGAAAGCTTTTCTAGTGAAACGACTTACTGGTGCCAAAACACTTCCTCCTGACTTTTCTCAGAAGGTAAGGCTGATCCAGTATCAATGATGTTCTATAAAGAAAACTGCAGCACAGTGTGAAGAACTGAAATATTTTACAGTGGCACATTAGCTTCTCTTGCAGGGAAGGAGATACAGTAGTTTCTTCCCTTAGACACAGTTTTCCTTGGAATCCCTTCTCCAGTTATGTCCACACTTGTCAGTATGTATTTGGTAAACTTTGCTCTAGAAAGAATAGCTGTCTGTAAAAACTAGTTGGTCTATTTTAATTTTAAAATATCCCATTTTAAAAAATCCACAGAAAACCCAGAAATGCTCATGAGTTACCCTGTGATATTTAAGAAAACTAAAACTGATTTTTCTAATTCAGGAATTAGTTGTTTCATGAACTGAACAGAATATGTTAATATAGCATGGATGTAGAAGAAATGAAGATCATAGTTTTAAATCTTAGTATTTTTTTCCTGCTCTGGACTAGGTTTCCTCCTGTCTTAGTCATACCTTCAGGTGTGGCAGCTGCTGTATAGTGTGCTGGAAGTTTACTTGCCAATATTGTGAGATGATGGTATATATAGTTCTTAGTGGAAATATGCAAGCTTAATTCATTGTTTTACACTGCATGTAATGTTTTAAAACCAACCAAAATGCCTTTCTGTGGTTGTTAATTTTTATTTTACAATTGGAAGCCAAATTAAATTGGCAAGATCTCAGTCCTTTGGAGAGGTGGTAATGAAAATGGCAAGTGACAGATACTGCTTTTTAATACAGTCTGTTTTCACAGAGCAGATTAACATCTATTTCTTTTGTATATTTTCAAGAAATACTTTTGTAAATGGCCAGCTTTAATTATGTTGAAGATTTGTTTTCCATGCCTTAAAACAAAGCATTTTAATCCTGTTTTTAAAATGCTGTATTTTGAGTGGATGACACAGCAAGAACAAAAAATCTTGAGGTTTTTCTTGTTAAAGTTGTTTCTCAAGGTAACTTCAGCCATTGTTAACAACTGGACAAGCTTTCATTATGTCAATTGAAAATTCCTTGAACTTACGTGAGAATTGTATCTCATCTTAAGGGATGACCTTGAAACAAGGCATTGTAGGATCTGTTCTTAGTTTTCTGAAATATTTTGTTACAAAGAAATAGAAGACAAGTTGTGTCATTTCTCTGGCATGATTAACGAGTACTTCAGTTGAACTGTGTGTCAATACTGTGCTTTAAAAGACAGGAAATGGAAAAACAGAAGATATTGTTACAGAATGTATGTTTTGTGTTGTTTCAAGGTGTCTGAGAGTATGCAGTACCCATTCAAAACTTCCATGAGGGTGGAGGTAGTGGACAAGACGCACCTCTGCCGGACAAGAGTGGCAGTGGTGGACAGTGTTGTTGGGGGCCGCCTGAGATTGGTGTATGAAGAGAGTGAGGACAAAACTGATGACTTCTGGTGCCATATGTACAGCCCACTCATTCATCATATTGGCTGGTCTCGAAGTATAGGACACAGGTTCAAAAGATCTGGTAAGTTTGGTTTGGGTTAGAGGTGTTTTGTAGGTGGTGTTGGCTGGGAGGAGTTTGGCTTTAGCAGTTCTGTTGCTTTATACAATTAGTCAAACTGCCTTGAATAATGGTACTTGAGGATGTTATGTAATGTGGCCCAGGGGTTTTACCAATTTTATGACACTCAGGAATTTTAGTTAAAATTACAATTAACATATTATACAGCAGTGGAAAAGCCAGAATAACCTTTAGTGTGTAGGAGATTCAGTGATAAACAGAGGCTTGCAAACTAAAGGTAGAAAAACCTTTAACTGCACAATTCAAGCATGATAGACTTCACTTTTCATGCTGATACCTGGAATTACAGCCCTACTCCACAAACTCCTAGTTTCTTCACATCTAACTCCTTTCTACAATGCAATGTGGACATGTATCCTAGTAGAAACAGAATTTCTATTTACTGGCGAGTTTAAAGACTGTCTAATATTTTATAATTGCAGTATTTACATGATTTAGAGGGCATTCGGGAATGGGCTGGGAAAATGAAGTGACAGTGTGATAGAGGGGACACAGTTAAGGCCTTTGCTAACTAAAATACAAAAGCAATTGTAATGTGAAATAGTTCAGACTTCTAAACAAACAAAAAGAAAGTGTGGGTTTTTTATTATTTCTCTGTTCCTTTGAGCTGGTATCCCTTGTAAGAGACAGAATTTCTGTAAAGCATTCTAAAAGGCTTCCCTTCAGGAAGAGGCCTTCAGTTTCCCTAAGGCTTCAACTTTCTCTGAAGCCATTTATAAATAGACATACACACACATGCATTTCAAGTGATTATATGTAATTATATAAAAATATATATAAATGTAATTTTCTGTCCTAGCATAGTGCAAAGTAATTTAAACCTGCCCATTTTTTGCAAAAAACTTCTATGTTACACTTTCATCAATTTTGTGACGTAATCAAATGGTCTTGTAAATACTGGATATTGGCGGTTTTTTTCCATAAATTGTTTGTTTTATAGAGGCAGTTCAGGTTGAAGTCAGCAAGGAAAATGGATGGATTATGTCCTCCAGATTTTTGTGGTAGTGTTACTAATAAACTGTGGGCCTCCCAACACCAGTGATTGTGTGGTATTGGTTAACATGTTCAGAAAAACATATTGTGTGCTGTGTGAACAAAGCTTCTGAACAATATTATAGTATTATTATTATTATTATTATTCCTTGTAGATATTACAAAGAAACAGGACGGACATTTTGATGCACCCCCACACTTATTTACGAAGGTGAGTTGAGTAGCTGGAACACTCTCTGCAGAGTTGATTGAGGACCTTCAGTTCCTGTTGTGTGTAAACCTGACCTGAAACTCTGTTTACATCCTGGCCCAGCACAAGTGTTTCTGCTTGTGTTATCCAATCTGATCTCCTTGATATAAGCAGAAATGGTAGAACAGATATTTCAGTATGTTCATTTGGCAGTGTTGGGGTATGTTTTGTTCCAGGCTCATTAAATTCTTTGTTGCTGCTGCTGTTCTGTGATTCTTTAGGTCAAAGAGGTTGATGCAGCTGGAGAGTGGTTTAAAGAAGGAATGAAATTGGAAGCTATAGACCCCCTAAACCTTTCAGCAATATGTGTGGCAACTATCAGAAAGGTAAGAAAGCAAATGTGCGTTTTGGGGAGGGGAAGAGGAATCCTTTTCTCCTAACCTTTCTTCAGGCTTGAAACAAGAAGCTCAAAACCAAAATTAGGAGAGTTCATTTGCACAGTGAATAGGGTATGTTTGTCAATTGTTCATATACAACCGCTATGAAAGTGTGCTTATGTAAATTTGACTTTAAGCTCTGGAAATTCAGCCTTACCTTTAGTTAGAATGTATTTGTGAGAGGAATTTACAGGAAAATGTTCTGCTAATTATACCAAGTGTTTTGCAACTGTTCAAAACCAGATCTCATCTTGCTGACTTGCAGAAGTTTATGAAGATATTTTAAGGCTGTCCTTCTTTCTTAGTTTGATTGAAAGGGAACCAATCCATGTGAAATCTGCTTTAAAAGAGAAAATGTAAAAAGCAGCTTAGCTGAATTGTTTAACCTTTCCAGTGAGGAGAATTGTTTTGATTTTGAGTAATGGCATACTGAATATCCTTGCAAGCTGAGGAATAGACTCAGTTATAAAGCTTTAGAAATAGGGCTGTTGTTCACAAGAAAAATAAACTAGAGATCAGGAAAGGAAATGTTCATCTCAAAACTTTGCAGTTATCAAAGGTACATGTAACAGTTGTATTCACAGTCCTAGAGACAGATATGATTTGGAGGGTTTTTGTTATAATTGAATATCCTTCTAAGTGTGCTTCCATTATTATTGAATTGCTTTCACTCTTGAAATGTGGCATGCTTTCTTTCTCACTTTCTCACCCAGCTGAAGGTATTTAATGTGAAATTTTGTTTCTCTTTACCAAGGTATTAGCAGATGGCTATCTTATGATTGGGATTGATGGCTCAGAAGCAGCAGATGGGTCTGATTGGTTTTGTTACCATGCCACTTCCCCTTCTATTTTCCCTGTTGGTTTCTGTGAAATTAACATGATTGAGCTAACTCCGCCCAGAGGTACAGGTAGCATTCTGACACCTTCTATTGTTAATACTGCTCAGTGATTCTCTATGTGCCATATGCTTTGTTTCTTAACTCAGCCTACAAAATTCAGGTCACTTCTTAGGACTTTCTCAAGTCTGAAACAAATACAACAGCTTTACTTCCAAGTAATCTAAACCAGAGGTCACCAGCTTTTCATTTAGAAAAAGTTGGATTGGTTATTGGCTGAAATAATTTGCATTTGCTGTCAGAAATTGAGGATTCCACTAAATCAATGGAAAGCGTGGGAGTCACTAAAAGGGCTCTTCAGAAAGTCACTGGTTAGGAAGTCCTGCCCACCAAAACATTAACAAACACTGTGAAGAATCTCAGGCTAATTCACAGTGAGACAAGTCAGATTTTGGAAGGTTATACACAAACTTGAGCTTTAGGACTGTACAGTAAATAAACCCCTCTGTGAGGAAAAGCTTTCTGTTCACAAGCACATGTGTCTACAGAAGACTTTGCCTCCCTTTCCCCATTTTTTGCCCTGGTCTGGTACATTTTAAGAGGATCATAGCTGTATAACAGCTGACAGATTACAATGATTTTCTATGGCTTTTTCCCTCCATTCTCATTCTTGCAGACTTCTTCTTGTATTTAATGAAATATTTTACTAGGTAATAACTACAGTGTAATGCAACATGAAGAAAATAATTTCATACCATTTTTGTCGTACAGTGACAGCTCTCTCCCCTTTGAGTGTGTGGAAAGTGCAGTTATACAGATTTAGGGAATTTTTTTCAGTCAGCTCATTTAGTAAATTTATTGCCTAGAAATTCATGGGCACCAGCATCCCTCAAATCTGAGGTGCAGAGACTCTTGCAAGAGAAGTTTTTATGGGTGAAAATGCTTGTATATATAAACTGTATATCAATAGGTATCAATCCATTTAGAAATACATGTATGAAACTGATGAGATGGAATAGGAGAAAAATTTGCCTTTGTTTTCACTCTTGAAACACTGCTTTCAAAATGTGGATTTTGTTGTTAGCACATTTATGATACTTATAGTGTTTCTTGTATCATGGCAAGCTAATTCTTTACCTCCATGTACATTTTCCCCTTTATTGCAGTTTTTACTAAGTGCTCTGTCATCAGCAAGAGGTGATTATAAATCACACATGCAATAATCTAAAAGTAATTTGGAAGAGGAATTACTAGCAGTAAAATACAGACCATAATGCGCATTGACAATTTTAATAGGACCAAAGTGATCAAAGCTCCTTAGCTCCAATGAGGAGAGTACTTTGCTTTCCAAATTATGAGCTGGAAAATGGACAGCTTTTTAATTCTGCCTCATCTGACAAGGCCCACGTGCACATTTCCTGTGTGTGATGAACTTGAGTACAAATATATTGGTGTAGCAGAGGAATGTTACATTGAGAAGAAAACCATTAATATGCAGAACTGATACAGTATTGCCATTTTTAATTAACTCTCTAGCTGTATCTCTTCATGGATAGATTCCATAGCCACTGTGAGCACTCTTATTCAAGTTGCATTTAGTATTGTGGATAACTTCAGTTGCTGTGGAATCATTGGACTTTACAAAGCTTATTCCTCTCAAACTTCTTCATCCCATGCTGAAATCAGTAGAAGATGAAGATGCTTGGGCATCTTGAGGGATGGGATTGAATTTTGGGCTGTGGGTACTGAGAGTGGCAGCCCTCTATCCCCACAGAAGTGAGATGCAGACCTCTCCTGTAGCTCCCACACCATGCCCACTGCACTGCAGATTTTCAGTGTCCATCACTGCACACTGATGCAGAGAAATCCTCCAGGCTCTTGTTCCTCCAGCTAGAATTAGAGAATTATTCATTAAAAGCAGTTGTTAAAATTGCTCAGAAGAAAAGATATTCCTGTGTTTTATGCATATTCAGTAGCAGATACATATCTTTTTGAGAGATTATTTTCTTCCCTTTTATAATAGCTTTAAAAAATCCTCTAATTTTCCATATTACATGTTCCTGCTATTTTTACCCTTAATAAACTTTTAAAATATCCATGTTTATTCTTACCATTCTGTTCCTGACAATTTAAGTGTTTCAATAGTGGAGCTATTTCCCCACAGGGAAGAAACTGGATATTCTCAATTCCATGATCTGTTCTGGGTCATTTGTGTAGGGCATTTGTTGAGATAAGAATCTGCATGGACAAAAAGCTTCCAGTTTAAGTGATTAATCTTAACTGAATTATATCTTTTACATTACCCAATGCTTCATTCTTGTTAGTTACAAATGGGCAATGTCTAGGTGTCTTTTTGTCCCTTAGATCAAAGCTCAGAGAGTGGAGGTTTCTGCTACTGATATTTGACCTTTGTTGTTTTTTTAGCTGTAGCACACTCACTGTGTGCTATTTTTGCTGTTGTTCTTACACATGAAATTTGCAGTTGATGTATGAAAATGTTGTTTCAAATTCACAGGTTATGCAAAACTCCCTTTTAAATGGTTTGACTACCTCAGGGAAACTGACTCAATAGCTGCACCAGTAAAGCTCTTCAATAAGGTAATGAAATTATACGTGTTTGTACTGGAATTAGTGTTTTCCTTAAATTTTTGCATAGTGCATGGGATAGACCCATTTGTTAAACACAGCTTTGAAAAGGTAAAACTTCTAGGGATAAGAACCATTTGTTGGTATCTCTGAAATGTTAAACAGCTGCAGAGGTCCAGGAAACTTCATCAATGATGCTTGGTTTTTTTCTATATTAAGTGGATTGAAATCCCTGTTTCAGCACTGTGCTTAAACTGTCTTGATGAACGTCTGTTTACTGGTGTTTGCTTTCTTTGCTTCCCCAGGAAGTTCCAAACCATGGCTTTCACGTTGGCATGAAGCTGGAGGCAGTGGATCTGATGGAGCCTCGCCTGGTGTGTGTGGCCACAGTAACGCGCATCATTCACCGGCTGCTGAGGATACACTTTGATGGGTGGGAAGATGAATATGATCAGTGGGTGGATTGTGAGTCCCCAGATCTGTACCCTGTGGGATGGTGTCAGCTCACTGGATACCAGCTCCAGCCTCCAGCGCCACAGTGTGAGTCCTGCTTTGTCAATAATGAAAATTCATTTAATGGGGACTCCTTTTACTAACCTTTTCCAGTTAGGTCCCTAGGCGTAACAAAAATAGAAAAAACTCTTGCTAATGCCTGGAAGTTCTAATTGACAGTTCTAATCTTTCCCACTTTGATTTCTAAAGTACTTCTGAGTGTTTTTTACTATTTTTCAATGCCAGAAGGTGCTGACTTGATGCCGGGAAAAAGCCTCTTGTCAGTTCTGGAGAAGCTCGCTGAGAATTTATGTTGCTTTAAGACTGCCAGTGTTTCTGTTTCACCTCCTAAATTAGTGGAACTCAGCCTGTGCAGAAGCTGTATGTAATTTGTTACATCACAACTTGTCCTTGTCAGATCAAGTGATAATAACTGATGATATGCATTTCAAAAACAGTTTTTTAATATGAGGGTAATGAGCGAGTTCTTGTTAAATAGTTTGATGCAAATTGATTTTCCACAGTAAATTTCTGTCTTTGTTCAGTCACTAAGGAAAAATTCTTAAACTGTGTACCAGCTTTGACACATTTTAAAGTGGGGTTGTTTTTTTTTTAAATGAGCATAAATTTTGAATTCTTCATTTTTGCAGCATCAAGAGATAGCCAGTCAAGTTCGTCCAAACAGAAGAAAAAAGCTAAATCACAACAGTACAAAGGACATAAGAAAAGTGGGTGACAAAATAGTGTTTGCGGTTTACCTGATGCTTTAAAGTTTGTGGTCTCTACCTAAGTCCCTGTTCTATTTGGAAATTTTCATGTTTTATGCACATGTCTAAACAGGTGTTATGCTTAAAGGTGCAGTATGCCACAAAAAGAACTTTTTTATTGAGAATAATTATTTTTATATTTTGTGGTAGGGTAGATGTTGCTAATAATAATAATCTATTAATTGTAGATGGAGAATGGTTAAAATAATTTTGTATTCTGACATAATTTCAGTTAAATAATACATTTGCTGTGTACTATATTGGTAGTTGTACTGCCTTGTACAAAATACTCAGGTATCAACACACTTTTCCCTCTGCTCTCTGTAACACAGGTAAAGGAATAAGAGCCAAGTCACTGGGATCAGAAAGAATGAGGTGTAGAAAATCTAAATAATCATCCAACTGGCTTCTCTTTGAAACAAAAAAAAAATACTTATTTGCCAGTTTTTTTGGTTTAGGCATTTATGTAAATTAAGCTCTTGTATTATTACTTTCAGAAACAAACAGCATTGCTGTATGTGGCTGTTCTTGTCACAGTAAAACACAGTAATGACATTTTTAAGAATCTGCAGTGTTCAGGTGCTTTCCACAGTAATTGGTTCCCTTTGAATCAAGTTGTCAACATGTAAAATTAGCTTGCTTAATTTAGTTCTGTTTCCAGAGTGTTTCGTTGTAGTATCAAACTAATGTGAGGAATTAAAACCTTGTTTTCCTGGTGAGTTTGTGAATGGATATATTAAGGCCAATTGGAACCCCCTTCCCCAGTCATTGAGAATACATCCTGTGCTGTGTTGATCTTTGGGGATGAAAAGAAGTTGGCTGCTGAGTGTCACAGATAGAACAGGTGTCTCAGAAGTTCTTAGAAATTCCTGTTAAGTGCCTCAAACATTGCACTGGTTTTCTTTTCAGTGTTGGAGGAAGTAAACAGTAAAATCCAGATCCTTTTTGGAAAGCAGTATTTTTACAATAGAATTCAGGTACTGGAAAACTCCTGATTTGAGAATATCTGGGGAAAGCTGTGAATGCTGTTGCTTTAAGCTGGGGAAATATGGCTTTATGGTTAATTACCTTTGTGTAAGACCTGGTTTAGGATAACTCTACACTATCTGTGCAGATTTTGTTTAGCAAGCTGTTCTAGACCATCATTCTCCTTACCTTATCCCTTTCCTAATACCTCTGCTACCTGTCTTACAGTAAGTGTGACCCAAACCTGGAAAATTAATCTATCTTACTTAGTGCCATAGGAAGCTTTAGTCTAGCTTTAGAAAATTTAGTCCAGGGAAGTTTCTTCTTCACTTCTCACTAACCTAAGGTAAATGTTGCCTGTGGAAGCAAAGAAAACTTCTGATTGTGTTCTGGACTGTTTGCTGAATACTAAGAAATCCTCTTAACACCAGAAGATGAGAGAATAACATCATGAAGAATTAGAGCCAGCTGCCTTGTGTATGGGTTTTTTCTAAATAAGTTATGGCAACCAAAGTGGTGAGTCATCGGAAATAACACAAAAATGTCTTCTGAAGCTTTTTCTTGTTCAGGACTTGTAAATAAAATAGAAAGTTATTTTGTAAATTATTTCAGTCACAAAACCATATAATGCAGCCATGGTGTTTTTATGGTACCATGTAAAGTCACCACAGATGATTAACAAAAAACTCTGTGTCTTACACTAGGTTAGTTTGAGCAGAGCAGGGTTATTTCCACACATTTTTCTCATGTGCTCCCAACACAGCCCAGGATGTCATGGATGTCATTGAGCCTTTTTGCTGTGTGTAACAATGCAGATTTCTGCTACAGTGTCCCCTCCTTCCTGGGGGCACTGGGAGTGGACATGTTCACTGGGAAGCAGAGCTGATTGCATCATAAACCTTTGGGAATACTTTTGGGGATATTTGAGAATCTCCCCCGGTTCCCTTTCTGTCACTGTTTCTTTCAGTGAGTATGGTTTTGCCTGCTGCTCAGAAGACTGTGCAGGTGACTTCTTGAAAGGTACCATGCCATTATGCTGGGACAGTTAATTAATAATGAAGGATGTGATATTTGCTAGTATTGTCTGCTTCCTCTTGGGTGTGTATATCAGAATAAGGTTACTGAAATGATAATCTGACCTCTAGATTTTCAAGGTTGGAATTCTGTAGACGCTATTCTGCCTCATTGATCTCTCTATAAGGCTATCCTGAAGTGGTCTTATAAGAAGAATATTTAAGCAGGGTGGTATCTTTAGAATATGCATAATCAGTTACCTTTTCAGGGCTGTCTGACAATGCTGATAGGACTGAAGCATCAGCAGCCACAGTTTTGATGGAGCTGAAAGCATGGATTTTTGCTACAGGTCTTGTACCCTCAATACAGATCTTGTACCCTCGGAGAGCATGCCTTGAGCACAGAATAGGAGCATCTTAGTGATAAAGGAGAAACATGGTAATTTGTATGGGAAATGCTCTAATAACACTTTTTCATGAATGCAGTGTTTAATAATTCGAGGGCATTTTAGAAGTTTTTTTGCTACGCAGTAGCAATACAATAATTTGTATTTATGGGTAAAATGGTAATTACCATTCTAAGGGAATTAAGAGCATGTGTTTTTAGCGGTGATAAACTTTGGAGAGGATTATTTCCCCACAAGCATCCTTCTGTCTCTTAGGCACACTCACTGAAACAACTGCAGCCTGAAACTGAGCCAAGTGTCTTGGGTGTCCAGGCAGAGGAGTGTGTGTGACTGTGCAATGTAACTGCAGCAGAAGTAATTCACAGCATTTGTATTTCATTGATTGAGCATGAAATAAGTGGTTCATGGTGTTAAGCAATGCCCTTGAAGTCCTACCCATAGCCTGTAGAATTCAGGGACTACAATGTGGCTGTTGAGAACAATATTCCCAGTAATAACTAAATTATGCCAGTGTGCAGGCCATGGTTTTTGAGAATGGGTGAATATCAGTCAGAGCCATTTCTCAGTGAACAGTCAGAGTTGCCTGATGCAGTTTAACTAGAGCATTTATTTTAGTTTGACTTGATGTTTAGAGAGGAAGGTAGGTACCTGTTGGAAAGAAACCTGTCAGTTTGTCCAGGCCACCCATGGCAGGTGAAGTGCAGAGGAGCTTCTCTGGGGACAACGGGTTGATTCCTCCTCCATACCGAGCCCTTCCAGCACAGACAGCCTCTGAGGCCTTCCAGCCTCCCAGGAATAGCCAGGAGTTCAATCCCAGCCTCCAAACAGGTAACTGGTCACAGCAGTGTTTCACTGCAGAGTGGGAAGCTGAGGTCTAGGGTGTCATGTGCTGACTCATCCAATCTTTCTTTTTTCCCTTTTTTTTCCTTTGAATTTCAGTTGGTTTAATTTTTTCTGCTAGAGAGCTTTTCATTCTTGCTGATGCACCATGTTACTGAATTAATCATAGCAGAGGGTTGCAGCTGGTTTAGAATTTCAGAGGAAAGAATGTTGTGGTGTGGGTTACTGAGAATCCCGGAGGGGCCCTGCGAATTGTTCAGATACAAAAAATGCACCCTATAAAACTGAATGATAATGTGGATCTGGGAATATTGGATCTAAGTAGGTTATTATTGTGTATTATCCTTTGCAGAGAAAATTACCATATGCTGTAAATAAAGATTTTTGTCGTTGTATCAGAAAAAGGCAGTTATCTGGGAAAGTATCTTTGGAATATGTTATTTGAAATTTTGTGGATTACTAAGAAAATATATTTGAAGCAGTGTAATTGTTCATCTGTATGATTGAGCAGAGGAAAAACTCTTAAAAATTAATTGGTAATATTGAAGTCTATTAAAATTTTGAACTTCTTTAAGTATAGTTTACATAATGTAATCAATCTTCAATTATACAAATGCACTTCAAGCGTCTGGTAGTTTTTCTCTTCCCTTTTCCTCATATTTCTGGCAATGTAATGCAGCAAATTATTGCTAACAAATATATTGTAGCAATAGGAGCTGTCAGACAGACTGGATGATGTTCTCCCTGCAGGACAGTTGCCAGGTTGATAGATTTAGCTTCAGATTTGCTTGATTACTCCTTTAATCCTGTCTTAGTCTGCACAGGCTGCTGTGTCAGCACTCTCTACTGACTGGAGTGTATCCAGAACAGTTTCTCCTGTCCATGTGTTATCCATTAACAGACTGGGAGAAAAGGAACCCAAATGCCACCTTTAGACCCTGAGTAAAACCTTACTCTCTTCTGCACACCTCTCAAGACTTCTGAAGGAACTCTTTAATTTCCCTTCATGTTCCTGCTGCTGTGTACATGCCATGTTTAACAGAGCCTTTGATGCCAAAGAGAAGCCTTGCTTACAGGAGAGTGTTCTGGAGCATCTGTTTCTTCCCAAATGTTCTTTTGTGCTAAATCTACATCTGCATTGCATTTCCTTAGTGCAAAGACATACACAGTCTGAATTTCTGTATCATTAGATTTCAAAGTTCCTATGAAACACCTGTGTTCCTTGGTTTCTGATACTCAGTGATCAGTTGAGGGGATGATTATGATTAATTGAGGGGAGCTTTTCAACACTGAATTTTGGTAAGGCTGGAGAAAATTAATTTTGTTTGTGGTGTGGTTAGCCTTGTCATTGTCCAAAGATAGATATATATCTCTATATAGGTAGATAGAGATTGAAACTAGCAAGACCATACCTTTTCAGTCTCTGGGAAGGAGGCATCACATTGATACCATCTAATCAATTAAAGCACATTTGAGATTGGCCAGAACTCATTAATTATGTGCATATCCTTAGCATCATTCATTGCCTGATAGTGCAGCAGCTGTAGGACATATGCAGACACAGTGCATGGGATGTTTTTCATGGCTTTGAATGGAATCAGTGGAAGATGAGTAACAAAACAGCATCTGTTCTGAAACTTCTTGTCCATGGGAGATCTCAGTAAGAGTTCAAACACAATTCTTTTGTACCATCACGAGCACAGGAGAAAGGTTCAGCTCTTTGCCTTGGTTTGTATGATGTGGTTTTGCTCTCTAGCAAATGCCTGGTGCTTTGAGTACTTTGCGTCTTTCGGTCTGAAATGATCTCTTGAGCGCTGAAATTCACCTGTTGGACTGCTTCATTTTTAAAAAGGATGCACAGCCAGTCTTGCAGAAGAAGAGACTGTTCCCAGAGTTTCACCCAATTGTGAAACATACTGCTCTATTTGTACTGGTTTTGGGAGGTTTGAATGTCATGGCATCAGACAGTGTGTCTCTGAGTCCTGGCAAATCACTGAGACGATGTAAAAAGGAAGTACCTTGCCCAATCTGCCTCCTTTCCCTTCAGTTGGATGATTTAAATTAGTTTTCCTTTTTCTTCTTTCAAGCAATTTGGTGTGCAGCTGTAACTAAGCTTTTCTAATGGAGGATTGTAGCTAAAAGCTGTAAATAATGAACAAATGAAGTAAGATATCATTAAATATCTTAGTGTTAGGACTTTGGTTCAAATGAGCCAGAGACAATACCAATCATGGCAGCTGCTGTTACTCCTGTACCTGCAGGAGCTTCCTGCTCAGGGGAGAGAAGGGAAATTACATGCATGGTGGGTTGGTTTGTATCCCTGACCTCTGTATAGCCTTTGCCTGAGGCATTGCAGCATAGTCAAGTAGCCAGTTGGGTGTCTTCTCATTTAGACAGTACTTTGTTGCCCCCCTCCAGAGATCAGGAATCTTGGACAGAGTTGGCCATGATGCAGGGAAAAGTATTTGGGAGAAAAAAAATAAGGAAGGGATTGTGGGTTCTGTAGGTGGGAGGAGGACTCTGTTAAAGAAAGATGAGGAGAGCATGCTGCAGCAGCTTTTGACATCTTCTGCTATCTTAATTTTCAAATTTTATGTTTATTTAGCTCAACAGCTTGTTTCAACATAGAATATTTTTAAAAGAATAATCAAACAGCTTATAAATTACTGCAGGGCTATCAGTAGCAGCAGGTTCTGGTTGGGGTGTTTTCCTTTCACTGCATATTTTTGCATTTCAAGACACATTGGCAAGGTATATAAACAATATATTGAATAATTATAAACTTTGATACTTTTCTCATTCATTTGGTCATAGAGAATAATTCATTTTTGTATAATCAACCCTTTAATGTGGCTACTGCACCTTTAATGAATGTTTACCTGTTTTGTTTTCAGTGTTCTTTTCATTGTGCTCATATTTTGATAATCATGTCTATTTGTTAGTGGAAGTGGAAAAGTAATTGTGACATTGTTATTCATAATATCTTTCTCTTAATCCCATTTCTTTTAAATTTTGAGAAGAAAAGGGAAGATTAAAAGTACGAAAATAATTTTGTTTTAATGAAACTTACCTTCTGAGATCTTAAAATTTTATAGATGGATTGAGAAATCTTTGTTAATATGTTTTGTTGTCTGACATAGACTGTTTGCAATAACTGTTTGTGAAGTAGTTTGAATTGTAGGTTAACTGTTGGCCATTTCCAATCTCATTTTCACTTGCATAATGACTAAATAGGAAGCAAAGTGGGTTAAAAGTTAAAATGGTTTAAAATACTCAGTTCTTGAGAAAATCTGGTAGAGAATATATTATTGTAAGTAATTTTAAATCTCTTAGAATTAGAGTATAACTTACACTTCCATCTGCACTCACAAAGTGTCTGTTCTCTGTGGGATCCTTAGCATTAAAGCATCGCTAAAATGCACCATGTAAGAAAATGGGGAATCTGGGATGCTCCCAATATCAATAATATTACGTCAATTTAAGTTGTATAGCTGTTTAATGTGAATTTTTGATTTGTAGTGACTTCATTACAGCTGAAGGAGGAGTTGCTGGATGGAGAGGAGTACAGCTTCCTGCAGGGGACGTCTGACCAGGAAAGCAATGGCTCTGCCAGCTATTACATCAAACAGGAGCCCTGAGGCAGCTCCCTGGAGTGAGGGGCACAGCATCGGGGACAGGAAAAGAACCTTTCACCAACACTGACTGATTCTGTTTCCACTTGGATGGTGCAGTTCAGGTGACTGTGCCTGGGGCGCTTTGCTAAATGTAGATGAATTAGACTCGGTTCAGAATTTTTTGGAACAGTGTGGAAACTATTTTAGTGAAAAAGATTTTTCAATTTATTAAAAACAAAAACAAAGGACACTTTTGTGTTGTATTTGAAGCTTTTGAAAGAATTTTGTAATATTTTCAAGTTCAGATTTATTGTGCATTGTTAACAAGAACTGAAATTCTAGTTTTTTTGTAAGATTAAAGTTTATTTAGCATGATTGTGGGAAGCAGTTGGAGGAAGATATAGTTGCAAATACAAATGAACTGTCATAGCAAATGAACCTTTTTGGTACAAGTTGGGAGACTGTTGTACTCTTGTGAACTGCACTGGTCACGTCTCTGTTTTTTTAATTGTGAAAATAAGGCTTTAAAGCCCCGATTTAAAGGCATAAATTATATACGGAAGACAGTCCTGTAAAGCTCTACTCAGTGAGTAGCCCCAAGTGCAACGGAGCCATCACCTGAGGAAGATTTTACATTTTCAAGGTGTTTTTATTTAGTTTAAAATACCCTTTTTGATATAAGGTTTTTGGTTTTTTAACATTTTTTAGGGGCTGATTCAGTGCCCATTAATATCAGTAGCCTTGTCTCCGCCGACTGCAGTGGGCATTGGATTTGATCTATAAAGCTCTTGTCTGTATATGAATGTCTGTAGTCTTGGAATGCTTCAGCAAATGTTTACAGAGCCCTATACCAAACTGGAACTTCAGAGAATTCTGTGATTGGAAGATTAGTTGTAGCTCTGAATTTTGACTGAAGAAGCAGCTTAGATGGACAGTCACTAAGGATTCGCTTGGTAGTGGGAAGGAACTTGTGAGTATTCTTGTGATTTTTTTTTTTTTTCCCCCCCATTCAGAAAGCCCTAAATGTTTCTTTACCATCTTAAATATTTATATGTGATCATTCAGATGATGTGCCATATGGTTTCAGGTGACCTAAAAGGAGCCCTACATTGTGGATTAAAAATAAGTTCAGTCCTGCATAACCTGCAATATTCATGTCTTGCTGCAATAGTGTAACACAGGAGTTGAGAACAGTATCAAAATCACATGGTTTTAGTCTATAATTCAGAAACTGGATTTGCCTATTGCCTGGAATTCTTGTCTCATGTCAAGCATCCCATTGCCCCCCAACTGGTCAACTTCCAGATTTTTACAAGGCAAAAGTCACATAAAAGGGTGAAAATGATGAGCATTTAAGCACAAAGTATTTTTGCAGGAGCTTTTAATAATTTGGATTTTATCTTTCCATATTTTAAACTTTTGTACATTTTTGTAAATGGAGTTGATGAGTGAAGTGTTTGATCAGCCCTGCAGAGCTGTGACTGGAAGAATGTGCATCAAGAGCTTTAGCTTTTACTGGTAAGGTTCATTAACTAAACTCTCAGGAATTATAAATTCTGTAAGTGCTTCTGGGTCTTCACAGGTTCCCTTCAGAGCAGTACAATGATCATCTGACTCTTGACCAGAAATTAAGGCTTAAAAAAAAAATTGATCAAAAATTATTAACATCTGTATCCTACAGCCTAAGAAATGTTTTAAGGATATCAACCCACAAAGCCCCGGGAGACCATTTTTTTGTATATTGTTGTTTGAGCTTAAAAAAATAGTGCATAGAAAGTTGAAAACCAGCAATTTGATTATTTTCTAACATATCGCTCCAACTTTGGGTACATAGCATTGGTGATATACACAGGTTTACCTCATTCTATGCAAGGGGGGTTAATTATGTAAAGTTTTGTATTTACTACAGGAAGTAAAGCATGTGCTGTATAGTTTAGGAATGTCTGGAATTCTTTCCTCCCTTACTGGTAAAATTTCTTAAATTACAACCTGTTTTTAACAACAGCTTCTTCTATTGACAGAATCTGTTAATCTGATTACAAGAATCTGTAACTTCAGGTGGTAAAGGCATTTTAGCTCGCTAAAATAGCCATAAAAAGGACTTTGTTGGACCTGGTAGTCTTCAAATAGCTCATCTCAGATTCTGACCCACGATGTTTATTTTGAACATCAAAATAAACAGCCTAGATTGGAGAACTAGGATTAGAGACCATTGTAGTGACAGTTTGAGCCTTGCTTGTTTTCTTGTGTTCTCAATTTAATCTGCTGTAAAATCCAGCTCTGCAAGCATTGATTTCATTTGGTAAGTATAGCACTATTGATTTTTTATTTTTTTTTTTTAATGCAACAACTTGCAGGTTATCCCATCAGCTGGAACAAGGTTCTCACAGTCTTGCTTTCTTCTCTCATCAACAGCTTCTGACTTCAGTAGAAAAACTGTTGCATTAATTAGTGTGTCATAATGTAGAGAGAGGGTTGGACTAGTTAATGAGTGAGGTGCATTGCCTGGTCACTAAACTGAGTATTGCCCCGGCTCATCCCTGATTTCAGAGTTGATCTCCAAATGCCAAGAGGGAAAATTAGTCCTTAACACACTTCCTGTGTTGGGAGAATTATAAGAGTCTGTCCTAAAGTCTGTCAGTCTTTATAATATTCCTTTATTCATCAAACACTAAAGTCTGTGAGGTGATCTATGTTCTCAGGTACCTGTGTGACTTCAGCAGTTGGTGAAACGCCTTTTGTGTCTCTGGGTTCATAATATGCCTCAGTTGTGTAATTGTCAAGTACAGTGACATCTGTGCTAAGCAAACCATGGAAGGAGCTGCTGGAAGTCACTTGCTGAGGAGCAGCTCAGGGAAAACCTGAGCAAGGTGCTACCAGGGATGTGGTCCCCAGAGAACCTGAGGGGTGGCCCTGTGGCAGCTCCCTGGCTTTGCAAAGCATTCCTGTGGCTCTGGGATGTTTCTCATGGCTTTCAAGCTGTAGTACCTGCCTGAGGGAGCAGCAAATGTTGGACACCCAAAACCTTCAATGGGGTTGGACTAATGCTGGCATTGGGCACAGCAGGTTTTTCTGACCATGAGGCAGCCCAAGCCCTGTCCCTGACTTGGCTGCTGTCCTTGTTCCAGATCTCTCTGCTGATCTTTGATTATTACATTATTTTCAATAGAACTCTAACCTGTTCCTTGCTGCATCTGAGGAAAGCTACAGCAGTTACTGATTCCTTGTTCTATGGATGCTAACACGGGTTGCAGTGTTTGTTTTGGGTTTTTTATTGTTGTTTTCTGTGATGTGAATACCCTCCCTCGATCTTTGTATGATGGTGCTAACACATTTGGTAACAATCCTTTATTAGGAAGGGATTTCAAAAAACTGTGATTTTAGCTGAATTTTTCTTCCTTTTGATTTTTTTTCATATTTAAAATTAAAAGCCACAGCCATTTATACAAAAAAGGCATCAGCTTTGGCCCCTGGAAAAATGCTGGGGGCAAGAATCAAGAATAAACAAGTGGGTTTTTACATAATTTCTGTATGTATTTGATATATAGATCAATATCTGTACAAATTTAATCTTTTATTTTCTTTGTAATTTGTGTGGTCACTGAGGGAGTATTTAAAGCTTTCTCATGCAATGTACATAACTCAGTGAAAAAATGCTTTTGGAAAAATTAATGTTACTTTCATTTTTACAAGACTGCGGATTTTCAGCATGGATGTGAAAAGCATTAAATCATAACTTTGTGTACAAGATAAAAATAATTCACTAAATTTGCCTTTTTTACACAAAATAAAAATGATTAAAAGTCTTTTTCTGAATAGTGATTGTTTTGCTTACACTCTTAACCTTATTAAAAATACCCACAATCTGTAATAATATTATTTTAAGTATGTTGGTGTGATGACAAATGGTGTGGGGCCCTGAGCACAAGGTAAGGGGTTTGATAAGAGAAGGTGAATTCAATAAGCATTTTAGAGAGCAAGCTTTGCACTCAGTCTCATTTCATTTAGTATTTGTGTAAGGAGAAAATTTTGTGGTATCCCTTTTTTCTTCTAGCTGTGTTGGAAGTAGCTCCAGCCTCACTTCAGCTCTCCCTCTGCAAAGTTGCTGCTGCTTGAGTCCAACAGCTGTGCCAGGGTCACATGTCAGTGGCTCCTGAATGACTAAAATTACTTTAATGAGTATTTGAATAGGGGGTCTGTTGTAAGTGAATGCACCACAAGGAATTAGTTCACACCCATTTATTTGACAGTCACTTTCAGCACTAAGATAACTGTGGTTGCTCCCAGGGCAGCAGCTGGAATGAGATGAGGTGTTGGAAGGCACAAATCACTGTGGGAACTCATCACTCATAGATCCAGTCATGTGCGCAGGGCTTGAAGTCGATGAGCTCTGCGGGTTTGAACCACAGGTTGATCTCCTTCTGTGCACTCTCCACAGAGTCGCTGCCATGGATGATGTTCCTGTGGAAGGAGACAAACATTGATCCCTATAAAAATACACCTCCAGCAGCCTTGTTCTCAGTTTGCAAAAATGGGGATGAAGCATCTAGAGTGGGGAGACTACTGCTGTTATTTCAGGTAGAGTGTTCCAACACCCCACCCCTATGCCTATCAGGGTCACTCTAGAGCTACTGTTCTGCAACAGCCCCTGCCTGAGCTTACATGCTGCTTTGGGGAAGAGCTGGACTGCAAACAAAGTCAGCTTTGTACCACTTTCCTAAGTAGCAGATATGCACTGTGACCTGCAAATAAAATACAATCAGACTAAGGTCTCTACCACCAATTTTGGTTTTCCAGAATAAAAGACTGCCAACAGTTTTTGTGTTGGCAGGTAAACAACGAGTAGGAGTTGTTTTAACAGACTGAGTACAAACCTTCCCACTTGAATGCAGAAATCACCACGGATGGTGCCAGGCTTGGAGTCTGCAGGGTTGGTTTCCCCCAGCATTACTCTCCCAGTTTTAACCACATTGAGTCCTTCCCATACCTTAAGATAAAAAACACAAAAACTCTGTTAAGCCATGCTTATGCAAAATACTGACAGTTCAGCTTTGCTCCACCATACGTTGCAAAGAAACAAAGGTTCTACCATTAAAGATATTAACCTTGCCTAGATTATCTCTAGGGCTTGTAAAGGTGACAAGGGAAAAAAAACAACTGAACTGGAAGTTAATGTACAAAGTGAACTCCCAACCTTTTGTGTTGTGGAACAGGGACACCCTACTGAGTGTTCTCTCCTCTGTCATTATCACACCAGGAGATGCTACTAGAGCAAGTACCTTGTTTTGGGGGGAATGTAAAAATTAATGACACAGAAGTTTGTGTCAGAGAGCCTGAGCTTTTTTTGCCCAAAACAGATTTTTTGGCACAGAAGATTTGCTTTCAGGAATTTTGCTTTATACATTTATACACTGAGCATTTTAATACCCATTTTATATGAACACTTTTCCTATCATATAGAAATTTCACTGTCTTAATTTTTTCTTTTGCCACTGTCAGAACAAGGTAGTTTAAAAAATATTTCTGCAGCACCATCTCTAAATATTCTTAACAATTTATAGAGCAAGAAAAATATATTCAAGAAAGTAATCTTAAACTGAAATGAAGTCACTTACCATGGCCACAACAGGTCCAGAGTTCATGTATTTAACCAAACCAGGGAAGAAGGGGCGGTCTTTCAGGTCAATGTAATGTTGTTTGAGAAGGTCTTCAGAGGCCTTCAAAAGGACAGATTTAGCTTTAAATATCATTTTCTGAATGTCATTGAACAAAAGGTGTTACAGGTGTTAGACTGTGGCGTTAGTGATTAGATTCACAATTAATGTTACCAGCAATGCTGCAGTGCTATTGTGTGTATCAGTGCGAGCTCCTGCTGTAATATTAAAGGAGTTCTTTGTGGCTGTGCTGGGAATTGTCAATATGATTTCTTTGCACGGCAGTGAGCCTCTGTAATAAGCAGAGTACGGGGTTCCGGGGTGATGTTACCCAACACAACCTTTCAGCCTAGGCCACTCCACCTCTCAATGCAGCAGGGCTGCATTAAACCTCTGAAGCAAAATTCGCTGGTTATGGGAAGGGTAGAAGCCGTGTGCCGGGGAGGAAGGGCCTGACGCGCGCTCCAGCACAGGCGCCATCTGATCCCAGTTCTGCCGCAGGAGAAGCCGCAAGGGGAGATTCTCGATGCGGGTATGGTGAGCCCTTCTCGGGCAGGGCACGGACAGGGTTTGGGGGCAAGGCGTGGGCACTCACGTGTACGAACTTCATGGCTACGAGCCGGAATCCTTTCTGCTCGAACCTCTTGATAATCTCCCCGACCAGCCCGCGCTGGACGCCGTCGGGCTTGATGGCGATGAAGGTGCGCTCGCTGTTCCCCGCCATGGCGCTGCGGGCGGGAGCGCGGCGTGAGGGGACGCGCGGCCTCAAGGTCGGCGACGGCCATGGCGGTACCGCCCTGCCACGCGGCACCGCCACGGAATGTCCCCCCGGCCCCACCGAGCCCGGCCCGGCCCCGCCGAACCCCGCCGGGCCCCTCCGCCTGCATCCCCCATGCCCCTGGAGCGCGGGGCCCGACCCGGCCCGGACTCACCTATCCGGAGCAGCCGCCGCCGCTACCCTCCGCACCGCTGCCGCCGGAGGAAGAGGCGCAGGATGAGGCGTGCACGCCGCAGATCCCCCGCCCTGCGCAGAGGAGGAGCCGCCGGGTCGGCGCCGCTTCCGGGGCGGGATCGCCAGCGCCAAGCGGAACCGGGCCGGGCCGGGATGAAGTGGGACTAGGCCGGAGAGCGGCCGCTTCGAGGCCCGGGCACCGCGAGGTGGCTCTTGGCCAGCCCTGGCCGCACCTGCCGCCTCCGCCGCCTCGAGGGTTATTTACAGACGCAGCAACTGTGGCTTAAGCCTTTAAGGCACTGAAACGCCGGCGGATGTTTAACACAACTAAATAAATTTTTACTAATTTTTTGCTGAGTTGGCTGCTTTCAGGTATCCCCGCGGCCTGAGGGTTGGTCCTGCCAACCAGGCTGCACTGCACAGCACGGCTACAGCTCTTCAAAAGCATATTTATCACAGAAAAGTGATGTGGGACCTGTAACACAGGAACATAATTGATAATTTTATTGGGAAGATGAAGCTGCCAAGTGTCAAAACCTCACAGTCCCTGAACCTGTGTCACAACATGAAGCGGGGAGTGTGTTGTTACTTTTTATGATGTTTACTGCTTGGCCCTTTCCTAGTTGATAAGCACCTTGCCTGAGCAAGTTATAATCGCACACCATCACTGCAGCTGGGATATGAATGAAATAACCTCTGCAGTCCTTGCACTGTCTCTTATTGAGGGGCCAGTTAGTGTCCTCACAGGGTCAGTTAGTGGTTTCACACTGGACCTGCTCAGGTACCTCAGCTATGCAGGATTGCTGGCTTCCACCTCTTCCCGGTCACATCATATTAGAAACACTAATCAGCAGCTTCCTGACAACCCAAGCACCTCCAGATAAAGCACAATTCTCTATTTTGTGGAATTGAGATGTCTCAAGTAACCTTTCAAGCAAAGATTAAACTGGAGACCACTCATCTCATGCTCAGGTTTGTCAATATTCCCTTTCCTCCAACTTCTTTTAACCGAGTGATCTATCTTCTATAACATTGAATAGTTTCAGAAGTGGGGCTCACAGCCTCACCTACACCTTCATAGTTAGAGAATTTGTTCCATTTCCTTATACTCATTAATTAAAGACAAAATATTTAAGATTTCATTTTATTTCACTTAAGAAACAGCAAATATTGTTTTATATTGTGCCATCTCTTTTTAGGAGCTTGATATCACCATAAGGTATCATAAGCCTTCCATTCAACATTCACTGCATAGTTCAGTATTCAGATACAAGAATTCGCTCTGGGGGAAAAAATAGAGGAGCTTGAGCAACTGATTCCATGAAACTGTTGCTCTTAGTGAATAAAATGTTGCAGAGAAATAAATACATAATATCAATCCCAACTTCCTCATCCAGTACAACTTTTGCTGTTGAAACTGAAACACCTTCTGCGTTATTATGACTCTACTTCTTTACATCATTAAATACAAAACCATAGTGATGAAGTCACTTCTAAAACAACTTATCCAAGAACGATTTGCTTTGAAGTTCCAGCTACTGAGGAAACTACACTAATGAGAACACAGCTAAATTACCTGCTGTTCAGCCGGCAAAGCAAACACCACTTATTGCTCTGTGCAATGCCAGAGAGCTGCTGCACTGAAGTGGCTAAGGGTAGAATCTCCCTCATCCATCCTCACATTAATCTTCTTTTCACATAAAAGAACATTTCATCAAGCCTGGCTGGTTAATCGGTCCTTAAAATACTACATAAATCCCATGTGGAAGGAAAAAAGAGTGAGTTGAAACGGTGTCAGTGTGGAGGAGAGTTGTCATTTTAGCCAGTTGAGCTCTTTATGGGCACAGCATGTTCTGGGGAGAGAAATGAGCTTTTTTTTTCTGCAGCCATTTTAGGAATGGGGACACACTTGACTTAATATTAAGTAAATCCTCAGCATTTGGGCATATTATCAATGCATTTACACACCATCAGTTGTCCTGTAATGTTTTAGCAAAGTTAACCTCTGAGCTATTTGCATATTTATTTACCAAATAAATTTTTACCCATTTTTTTTGTGTTTACTAAAATACACTCTATTACTATAAAATGCTTCAGAAAAATATATGTTATCTATTCTGTGTTTTCATCTCATATCTCTCAGTCCCAGAAGCAGCTTTTAAAATGTGCAATTCCATCTATAACTTGACAACTTTTAAATCAAAGAAGTAGCAAGCACTGACCCTGACATCCACAACAGAGCAATTTCACTGTTTTCTGAGGTTTCTACCAGGGAATTCTTTCAAATAGCTAGAGGCTAGCAGCTGCTTATGGACATGGGAATATCCGAAGTTCCAGGCTGGGTGTTAATCATAGATCCACTCATGAGCACAGCTTCTGTAATCAACCAGTTCTTCAGGAGTGAACCATAAATTGATCTCTGTCTCAGCACTTTCCACAGAATCACTGCCATGAATGATGTTCCTAGGAAAAGAAAAGGTGAATAAAAGAGAAAAGGAATTCTTAAAGTAAAGTAAGCTTCTTGTTTTGAAGTGATTCCCACTATGGACAGAAGCTTTAAGTAACAGTAAAGTACGAAAAGACACAGCATAGGCAGTGCCAGCTTTGCTCCCCCTTTTTTCAATGGGGACAACCATGACTTGATCCGTATCCTTAGATACTAATATGTCATGGGCACAGGGAATGGCAGCTCCATATGTAAAACAGAGAAGGATGGAGCACAGTTCCTGTAGATATCATGACATAACACTTAGCATTTAGTGCTTTTGGGTGATACCAAATGTTTTAAAATTTACTTTCCAACTTGGACACAGAAGTCCCCACGAATAGTGCCAGGCTTGGAATCGAATGGATTGGTTTCCCCCAGCATCATTCTTCCAGTCTTAATCACATTAAGACCTTCCCACACCTTAAAGAAAAAAAAAATCCTTTCAGATTATTAAATTTTAGCAGCAGATAAATTATACCATTCACAAGAACACAGGGCTGTCCATCATGGCACAAATCACTATCTGAATATTTGTCACAGTGAGACAAATTTATCTCCAATTCTTCTGTCAGATTCTGGAAGCATCTGCACACATGGTCCCCCTCTGTACAATCCCTCTCCTCACAAAGGGTGGGGAGAGAACCATTTTCCATCTCAGTATGGCCAACAGTGTCCCAGAGCTGTTTGTTCATGGGAGAGCTAGGCCTCAACTATTTTACAGACACATTATCAAGGAGAAAAAGAGAACTAAAGTTAAAATGTTCCACCATCCTTTTTCAGCTTTCTTACTACATGGCATTTCAGAGTGAGGCTTTTGTGCAGGTTTACTGTTTCTCAAGGTCCTGGTTGTGATTCCTTTTTGCCCCTGCCCTCTTCCTCAAAAAACTGGCTCAAAGGAGTGAAAGATTATGAGAAAATATTAAAGAAAAATAGTTAACAGCCCATCTTCCTAATCACAGTATTTGAATCCAAATTTTGAAATCCTTTAAAAAATAAACTGGAATTCAGCAGGTGACACAATCTCATTGCAGGGAAGACAACCAAGCAGTGTGGTTTTCCTTGACAGGAACTCACCATGGCTACAACAGGTCCTGAGTGCATGTACTGCACCAGGCCATCGTAGAATGGCCGGTCCTTGAGGTCAATGTAGTGTTCCCTCAGAAGGTCCTCAGAGGCCTGGGTTATAAAACAGACAGACAGAGAAAAAAGCTTACAATAAGAGCTTAAGAGCATAGTGAAATCACAGAGGTAAACCACAGAGCATTGATAATCCTGAAACTGGCACGCACTTTAGAATTCAGTATTTCCAGCACCTTCCTGGGAGTACTTTTGGTCTATATGAATTTGAACTGTTTGCTTTAACTACAACTAAACTTAGAAAAGATTTTTTGTCCATGCAGATAGTTTATGTGACCTGGGATTTGTAAAAGATACTCAAAGATATTTATTTGGCATAGGAGGCACCTGAAAGAATATTCTCTTCAGACTAAGGGCATCAGGTTACTAAAATTAGTGTGCTTAGCATGTCTAAAGCATTTAGCCAGAGCTGGGAATTGGAACTTTTCCAAAAACATCCCAAGTACGACTTCTCAAAATTTCAGTTTTAAATGTTACAGAGGCCACATTTGTTGTTACAGCATGCTGCTGTACTTGAAGGCTACAACTGATATAAAAAAGTAGATACAGCAATTGAGGAGAGCTTACTTGTATTAATTTCATGGCTACCAGTTTGAATCCTTTCTTCTCAAAGCGTTTGATGATCTCCCCCACCAGTCCCCTCTGGACCCCATCAGGCTTGATGGCAATGAAGGTGCGCTCCTCAATGGCAGCCATGATCCTGAGGAGGGAGGGAACAGAATTTGTTATTCCAGGACTGTGAGATCCCAGTCCATCCCAACCCTGTCTGCTATAAGTGTAATTAGATTTGCTGCATCTGAGTCAGTAATCCATGGTCTCCAATGTTCGAACAAACCAGTGACAGCACACAGGTTTTCCCAAGTGCTGCAGGAGTGGGTTTGAAGCAGTGGAAGGGTGCCAAGTGTAAGAACAATCAGAGAATACCGAAATCAGAAAAACTGAACGGAAAGGAAGGTAATGATCACCACAGATCCATCTTCCAGTGCCGTGCAATAAATTAATAAATTAGTACAAACTCAGAGTTTTCACCTGGAAACCAGCAGGACCAGAGGGGCTCTGAGCCCTGGGCTGGAGCACACCTGAGTGAGCAGGTGAGGGATGCAGGGGCTGTGCGGAGGCTCCGCGCGGGGGTGCGGTGACACTGCCCGGGGACGGAGGGACCCTTCCCGCTGCCCCGCAACCCGGCTTACCCGCTGGTGGCCCAGTGGCTCTGGCAAACCTTGAAGCCTTGTCCCTCGCCGGTGGCCCGGTGGCTGTGGCAAACAGTGTCCCGCGCTGATGACCTCGGTGAGTGCCGGAGCCCGAATACTCCACTGTTCCCTGGGCGTCTCCCACAGCCCGTGTCCCCCGCTGTTTCCCCGCGGCTCTGGCAGCCCGTGTCCCACGCCGGTGGCTCTGTCAAGCCGTGTCACCGCGGGTTCTCACCCGGTTTAGCCGTGCCCCACCCCCTCGCCCCCGCACAGCGGCTGCCGTGGCGACAGCGCGGCCTCCGGTCCGTGCACAGCGCCGTTACCGCCCCCAGCCCCCATCGCCAGTGGGGAATTCGGGATCGATCCCTGTGCCCGATCCCCCGCCCGGGGACACCACCACCCACCCAACGCCTCTTCCCTCAGAGCAGGAGTGCCGGGCTCAGCCCTTCCAGCATTTCAGTCTTGCCTGCTGGATCCCGGTTTTTATTTAACAAAAGGCACATTACGTTATTTTAATAAAAATGTCGTTATCGTACTGTTCTGCTTGTATTTCCTCTTTAAATTAGGTAATTAATTTTGTTTGGGGTTTTTTTTCTGGTTATACTATATTAGCTCTTTGAGTCAAAAGACCCTTCAACCATTTACCTAACCCTGAGCTGCTTTGCCTTGAGCATTTTATTGCCTTTAAGGGAATTGAGGATAAAGCATCTGGATGGAAATCCATGCTTGTCCTGTTTTTGCTTCCAAACTGAGGTGGACTTGCTGGGCTCCGCTTCTTGGCTGTTCTTGAAAGCAAAACAATGAAGATTTTGCTTCCCTCTGGGCAGGACTTTGCTGCTTGACAGGGAAAAGTTCAGCTTTTTGATAACATGGATTTCCTTACTTGGGATCCCTTCTCTTCACTACAGTCCATCACACATCCATGTGGTACTTTTGGTTCTGGTGGGAGACTCCAGATCTGACCTAAGCATCTATTCAACCAACCTGCTGTCTTGTATTCAGGGTCCTTTTCCATCACAGTTTCCAAGAGCTCTGATTTAGCAGATGATATTTAAAAAAATAGTGTCATACATTCTAGCAAGTCCTCCTTGAGGTTATTTTGAAATTAGAGTTTCTGAGTAGTCTCCTGACAATGCAAATCCAATTTATTCTCTTTCTTTGATACACATTTATTCAAGATGTTTCATACTACTTAAACAAACTATAATGCTGTTATCTTCACTATGGCAAAATAATACATAAAAAAAAAGAAAGGTCTCTAGAAACAGGATGTTTATAAAAAGTTCAAGTTTAAAGCAGCAATAGGACATCTATTTACAGTATTGTTAAATCTATATCATTTAATGATTAAAGCTTAGGACTTGCCCTAAGGTGGGCAAGCATGACTTCCAGCTTTACCATAGGTCTGTTCTGTGATGTGTGCCAAATCTTTTAACCTCATTAAATAAGGGTCAACTCTGCCACTTTTGAGATTAATCCATGATTAGCAGAGCAAGTTGTTACAGTATAAATGAGATTTTGCTTGTTGCAAATTTTACCAAGATCACTTAATAACATTGGAAGTTACATGTTTATCTAAAATGTGAAGAAGTAGAGAGTCTAGACAAATAATTTCAAAAAGATAGACTGATCATGGGAAAGAAGTAAACACCTTCAAAGTTGTCAGTGAGTGAACTAAGTGTAACTGTTGAGCTCAAACCATTTCCACATTACGTAAACCCAGTAGAGATTTTTAAAACAGGCTTGAGACAAAGGACTGACTGTGAATGTCTCCAGACTTCAGGAGAATTTAACACAGTTCCAGCTTTGCTGGTTTGGGCCCAGTTTTACACTGGTCTCAGCTCACAGCCTCTGTCTGTACCACTCGGAATATTAGGGGTTCTCATCAAAACTCGTAATTTGTGCTGTGTTCCTCTTGCTCCTTGTAACCAGAGTCCTCACTCTGACATGCTTTGTTGCTCCAGGGTATCCTACTCTTCATTTAGCTGGGTGATGCTATCATTCATCAGTCTTTATCTTGATTTCTGTTGTGCTTTAAGGTATTAACCAGAATAAAATTAACCTTTTACATAAAATTTCTTCCTCTAGGTAAAGTGACAGTTAAACTTTTCTAAATCCAGAGTGATCCAAGTGATCCTGGTAAATTGCAAATCAATTTACTTGATGTGGTGGGGCTCCTGCCTCTAGCCAGGGAGGGAGAATTGCTTCTTTTGGACTGTGTGGATCCAATGGCCTGGCACATCAGAACCACAGAAATACGAAGCTTTGGTTGATACTGGAGCACACTGCATGTTAATCCTATAGGGATATGTGGGGGCAGAAGCTGTTTCTAGTGGTGAGGTGACAGGGGGGTTGCAGCAGTTGACCCTGTTGGAAGTTGAAGTGAACTTGACTGGGAAGTAGTGGCAGAAACATCCTATTGTGACTGGTCCAGAGATCACTTGTATTCTGGGCATGGATTTCCTCTGGAGTGGCTCTTACAAAGACCCAAAGGATTCAGGTGGGCTTTAGGAATAGCTGCTGTGGAGGCAGAGGACATTGACCAATTGAACACCTTGCCTGGAGTGTGACAGAGTCCTTCTGCACCTGGACTCCTAAAGGTGGAGGAATATTATGTCCCAGCTGCAACCTCAACAGCATACCACTAGCAGTTTTGGATGAATTGAGATGCCATCGCACAAGATGATCTGTGAGCTGGAGAGCCAAGGGATGGTCAGTAGGGCCCACTCACCCTTCAACAGTCCCACCTGTCCCGTGCACAAGCCTAACAGAGAATGGAGATGGAATGTGGACTATCATGCCTTGAATGAAGTTACTCTACTGCTGAGCACTGCTGTGCCGGACATGCTGGAACTCCAGTACAAGCTGGAGTCCAAGGCAGCAAGGTGGTACGCCACCATTGACATTGCCAACACATTTTTCTCCATTCCTCTGGCAGCAGAATGCAGGCCTCAGTTTGCTTTCACCTGGAGACGCGTGCAGTACACCTGGAACCGACTGCCCCAGGGGTGGAAACACAGCCCCACCATCTGCCATGGACTGATCCAGACTGCACTGGGAAAGGGTGAGGCTCCAGAACACCTGCAGTACATTGATGACATCACTGCATGGTGGAACATGGCAGCAGAAGTGTTTGTGAAAGGAGAGAAAATAATTCAGATTCTCCTGGAAGCCAGCTTTGCCATCAAAAGAGTAAAGTCAAGGGACCTGCCCAAGAGACCCAGTTCCTGGGAATGAAGTGGCAAGATGGGTGGCATCAGATACCCACCGAGGTCATCAATAAGATCACAGTGATGTCTCTCTCCCAACCAGCAAGAAGGAAACGCAAGCTTTCCTTGGTGCCATAGGAACGCTTTTGGAGAATGCACATCCCTGAGTACAGCCAGACTGTGAGCCCTCTCTACCTGGTCACTTGCAAGAAGAACACTTTCCATTGGAGTCCTGAACAGCAACAAGCCTTCACCCAAATCAAGCAGGACATCCCTCATGCAGTTGCCCTTGGCCCAGTCAGGACGGGACCAGAGGTAAAGAAAGTGCTCTATTCTGCAGCTGGGAACCATGGTCTGTCCTGGAGCCTTTGGCAGAAGGTGCCTGGGGAGACTTGAAGTTGACCACTGGGATTGTGGAGCTGAAGTTACAGAGGGTCTGAAGCCAACTACAACCCAACAGAGAAGGAAATCCTGGCAGCCTATGAAGAAGTCCAAGGTGCCTCAGAAGTGATCAGCACAGAAGCACAACTCCTCCTGGCACCCTGACTACCAGTACTAGGGTGGATGTTTAAGGGAAAGGTTCCCTCTACCCACTGCACTACTGACACCACATGAAGCAAATGGATTGCCCTCATCACACAGTGTGCCTGTATTAGAAACTTGAATTGCCCTGGGATCTTGGAAATAAATACAAATTGGCCCAAAGAGGAAAATTTTGGTCTGACTGACAAAGAGGAGCAGGAACAGGTGACCCATGCTGAGGAAGCTCCACCATACAACCAACTGCCACAAGAAGAAACATGGCACACTCTTTGCACTAACAGTTCCCTTGTTGTAGGGACAAATAAAAAATGGAAAGCAGCTGTATGAAGCCCCACATGACAGGTTGCAGAAACTACTGAAGGAGGAAGGTGAACTCAATACTTGCTGAACTCAAAGCTGTCCAGCTGGCCTTGGACATTGTTGAAAGAGAGAAGTGGCCAAAGCTATACTTTTTCATGGATTTGTGGATGGTAGCCTATGCTCTGTGGGGTTGGCTGGAAAGGTGGATAAAAGCCAACTGGTAGCATAGAGGAAGACCTGTCTGGGCTGCTGAGAATGGCAAGACATTGCTGCTCTGGTAGAGAAGCTACCTAGGAAAGTCTGCTGTGTGGATGCCCATGTCACCATGTAACAAGGAGAAGCAAAACAACAAACCAGGTAGATCAGGCTGCAAAAATAGAGATATCATAGATAGATTTGGACTGGCAACATAAGGGAGAGTTTTTCCTAGCTCAATAAGCCCATGATGCTTCAGGCTATCAGAGCAGAGATGCCACCTATAAGTGGGTATGAAACCCACTTTCATGCCCAGAGGTGGATCTAACCATGGACAGCATCTGCCAGGTTATCAGTGACTGTGAGATGTGCGCTGTGATCAAACAGGCCAAGCGAGTGAAGCCCCTGTTGGTATGGTGGATGGTGGTCCAAATATAAGTATGGGGAGGCCTGGCAGATCAATTACATCGCACTGCCTCAAACCCGCCAAGGGAAGCGCTACGTGCTCACAATGGTAGAGGCCACCACCAGATGGTTGGAAACCTGTCCTGTGCCTCATGCTACTGCTCAGAACACTATCCTGGGTCTTAAAAGCAAGTCTTTTGGAGGCATGAGGCATGGTACCCCTGAGAGGCTTGAGTCCAGCAAAGGGACTCATTTCAAGGACAGCCTCATCAACACCTGGGCTAGGGAACATGGCATTGAGTGGGGGTACCATATTCCTATCATGCACCAGCTGCTGGGAAAGTTGATCAGTGCAACAGACTGCTTAAAACCACCTTGAAGGCACTGGGCGGAGGGACTTTCAAAAATTGGGAGCTGCATTTAGCAAAGGCCACATGGTTAGTTAATACCAGAGGCTCCACTAACCAGGCAGGCCCTGCCCAATCTGAACCCTTGCAAACAACAAATGGACATAAGGTTCCAGTGCATACCTTTTCCCTACCTATTTCCCAGCATATACATGAGATGTACCTCTCTTGTACATGTACCTCATGTACACATGAGAGGTATGCTGGGAAAAACTATTTGGATTAATTCTG